GGAAGGTCAAGTACAGCATGCAGTCATACTAAATTAATGTGTTTGTTCATTCCTCCCAACGCAGCCAATGTACATAGACATTACAATAGACCAAATGTCTAGGGAAACCATTCGGTGTCCATCATGTTCAAACCACGCTCTAATTCCTCTCTCTGTATTACGAATATTACAAGAGGATTTTACTAAAGGAGTTCCTGAAGATATTTGCAGGCGCGTAGCTAGCTCCTTTACCATGTGTAAGCCCCGACATGGGCTTGCCGAAGGCAGCCCCCACCCCCCACCCACCCCCGAAGCGCGAAGCGCGAGCAGGGGGAAGGTACTGGAGGGGTCTTCCCCTCCCGTAAGGAGGGTATGGCGGGTCTCCCCCATGAACATTTTGTTTTCTAGAACGTCTCAGGAGCCATTTCCCACGTCCTGATGTCTGAGATAATGATATGTTGTAAACTATAATATAGTTTTAAAAAAGGGACCGGGGCAAACACGGCCCCTTTTCTTTTTTTAAGACGTTATGGAAGGCATGTTCTATACTGTTGAAATGCATATTTATATATGTCATTTAGAAAAGAAATGTATTGTCTTTCATAAACTAATAACCAAATCGTAAACAAGACCATATTTTGGGAATTATTGGACTTTTTAGGTCGATAGAGTTAGGGGCCGGACGAGCCCCGCCCTGAGGCAATCCGGCCCCTACCAGGGCAAGTATGGCATGCAGGATAGAGAAGACAATTTACTAATAAGTGTATGGAATTTCATTCAAATCTGTTGGAAAATAAGTCCAGAACAAATCAGTGAATACAAAGAAAAAAAAACTTAATTTTTGCGACGTAAAAATATTATTTTTGTGGTCAACTAGGTGACGTTATCAATAGTGACGTCACTTGGCACAATAACAGTTGCATTCGGGGTGGCCGAATGTGCCCCGGCAAAAGGGGCCGAACGTGCCCCAAATTGATATTTTCATAAAACAAAACAAAAAACATATATTGATTGTCTGTGTCCACTGTGCCATACTCGGAGTCGTTTGCGCCGGGCGTGAGTTTCTGAATTTACTCAATCGAGCAGTTTAGTTCCGCCTGGAACTGTCCATTAATGCAATGGACATTTCTAAACTTCATACATTTTTGTACTAACTATTAACAATGTATCATATCTGAGGAATTACATATGTATACTATATATTAAAAACTTAAACTCCACTTTATAGTATCAGCAAGAAAAAAAACCGTCATGAAAACCTATACTTGTCAAAATCATGTGCAAAGCCCGGGCTTATTGGCTTACATGGTAGCTACGCGCCTGATTTGGAATCTATCTTGAGTCCTCATAAAAGTATTGAAGATGTAGCAAACATTCGGCAAAGGCTACAATAACTTCCGGTATAGGAACTGTCGATCTGAATGTGAAGCTTCTATTGTTATGGAAAGTGCAAAACTTTTTGAACGTTTAGGAAATGTTAAGCCTGTTGGGCAGGTGTTGCGAAACGCAAGCTAATATAATATTATGGATTTTCGTGATATTGGACCAGTCCACTGTTTATTTTGAGGTAAAGTTGTGAAGTCTGGGGTCGTATATATCTGCATATAATACCTACTATGAAAACTTTATCATTATTATATATTACGTTGTAAATATATAAATTCTATTGTGAAACAAAAATAAATCAAATGTAAAATTGGTGATCCGCTTCCGCCCAACACAAAAATATGATAACCTCCGGCGGGACTCGAACCCGCAATCCCCGGCTTAGGAGGCCGGTGCCTTATCCATTGGGCCACGGAGGCACATGTCTATGATTTCTGGATATTAAACTCTGTCAAGTGATTTTACAATCATGTAAGGGTACTACTTTCTTGTAGTAATACCCTACTTGATAAGGGGTAATCCACTTTTGGTGAAGATACAAGAAAACCATTGAATTGCAAAACACTAATGTTGTCAATTATATTCAGTGTGTTGTTTAATGTTTAGTAAACAGAAGGATAATTACGACACCGAATAAAATAGTCATCGTTCGGTAGATTTTTTTTTACATAAACATATTTCATCCTTCCTGACTATTTTATTTTATCTATGACAATCCATATTTAAAAGAAAATTCATCATCCAACATATAACCCTACATATATTAATTACGAACCCCGCGAGGTAGACAACGATAGGAACATTAACACAAGTCTGCTTGTCATTCATGCGCCGTAACAATATGTGGGGCTCTGTAGGAAGGTCAAGTTCAGCATGCAGTCATACAATGTAATGTCTTTGTTCACTCCTCAAAGAGACGACAATACATTCATGGATATCGACCTTACAATAGTCCAACCGAACACAAGGCTACGTTTGAAGACGTTATGGAAACTCTAGAGAAATCATTGGATGTCCACTATGCTCAAACCACACTGTATCTGATTCACGAACATAACCAGAGGATTTTCCTAAAAGAGTTTCTGATGACATTTGGTAAACAGCTTGGAGTTAAAATTGTGGAATTTTGTGATATTGGACCTAACCACTGTTTATTTTAAAGGAATGTTGTGATGGCTGTGGTTATATAGATCTGCATATTATTATAATAAATACTATGAACACTTTATTATTATTATTATATATTACGTTGTTAATATGTTAACTATACATTCTATTGTGAAACAGAAATAAATTCAATTCAATTGGTGATGAATGCATACTAGTTTTAGGTCCCGCTCTACAAAACAAATTAACCTCCGGCGGGACTCGAACCCGCAATCCCCGGCTTAGGAGGCCGGTGCCTTATCCATTGGGCCACGGAGGCACAATTTTAGACATTTCGGGATATTCAACTCGTCCAGGGATTCCCCAATCATGTAAGGGATTTCCTTCTGGTAGTTACACTCTACTTTGGTAAGACTCCAGTCTTGTAAGGAAGCTTTGAACCATTGAATAGCGAAACCTCCAATGTTTGCAATGATACAGAGTGTGCTATCTATGGTTTAGTAAAAAGGACAATTCCGACACAGAATAAAATAGTCATCGTTCGACAGAAAACAATCAATGTTTATATACACATTTCATCTTATTCTATTCTGTATATGACTGTCTGTATTTAAGAGAATTTCTCATCCAAAATATTAACTTACAATTAGTATCGTGTAAGGTATAGACAACGAGAGAAACATTACACAAGACTTCTTGCCATTGATGCGACATATAAATATTTGGACTCTGTAGGAAGGTCAGGTCCAGCATGCAGTCATACAAATGTCTTTCTTCACTCCCCAAAGAGACGACAATGTGGTCATGGAAATCAACATTACAATAGTCCAACCGAATACACTGTTACGTTTGAAGACGTTACATAAATTCTAGAGAAAATATAGGGTATCCACTATGTTCAAACCACATTCTATCCGCCGTACAGTAACTGTAATGTTTGGGAAATAGAAACTAAGTTGGGCAGGTGTTGCCAAACGCAGACTTATGTAGAACGGTGGATTTTCGTCATATTGGACAAGTCCACTGTATAATTTCACAGTAATGTTGCGAACTATGAGGTTTGATTGACCTGCAAGTAATACCGCCTATGAACACCTTATGAATACTGTTAATTTATAGTAAGTAGGTTTCCCTTCACAAAGTTTTGTGAACGTGGAAACCATTCTAGAAATTGTGTTTCCGCTTACAAAGCCGTGACAAAATAAATAATAACCTCAGGCGGGACTCGAACCCGCAATCCCCGGCTTAGGAGGCCGGTGCCTTATCCATTGGGCCACGGAGGCACATACTCACTTCATTTAGAATACGCTATTGTTGGTCACATGGACCCGACAATTTGTTACTGATGTTATGTTTGGACCCATCCTGATGTACTAAGGGTAATATTATATAATTTAGGATGTGAAATTAATTCTCTGTAAATATAACATTCCCAATGATGGTATATATACAAGAGTTGATTGTCTGATATTATTCGTTGCACATCAGGATAGGTTCAAACATGCCAACTGTAACACATTATCGGGTTCCAGTGCTCTTGGTAATTATACCAGAACCTTTGAACCACTGAATTGCATGCGAATTGCACATTTCGTCTGCTGGATAACTGAACTATCTGACAGTGAAGCGGACGTAAAAACATTCAAACTAACAAACATTTAATTACAGAACTTCCAATGTTGTAAATATTTGTTGAGTGTGCTGTCTATGGTTTGATATATGATGATAAACAGGAGGATAATTACGACACCGAATAATAGCCATCGTTCGGCAAAGAAAATCAATGTTTATAGAAACATTTCATCCTCCTTTACTATTCTATTGCATCTATGACTGTCTGTATTTTAGAGAAAATTCATTTAACAAATAACCTACACGTGGTGCAACTTACATGGTCATGTCATGCCCATGTCGATCGTACATACCTCCCTGAGCTTGAAATCAAGAATAGTTCTACTTGGTCGCTGTCATGATCTTATTAGAATATATTCCATTTCTTTGATACGGAGGTCGCTGTGTTTTTATTATTAGTTTGTCTTGTTGTTTCGTTGTCAATACTCCATTCTCGCTATACGGTCGTGACATTACTTGGATTTGACCTAGATTTATCTGGCATGTGTAGTCGATGAATCACTAGACGCTTACCCTTCCGGAACGCATGTATTATTCTCCTTTTACCCTTTTAAGGATTTCGATGTAAATCTTTCCTTTGTTCATGTTTGCCCTCGTTTTGTCGTTTTAGATTTAGAACTACAGTTCTGTTAACCCTTTTGTATTCTCTCATTTTTTTCTTTAACAGGCCAACCGGGTGTACCTGGGGAAACACGGTACAAGAGGGGAGGGACACATTAGTCTCGCCAGAATATAATACATCAGTATACAGCATGATTATTTCAGCAGGGAATATATTCGGATGTAAAGTATCAAACTGGAAAGACATAATAACATTCAGTTGAAGCGCTAAATTTATGGCCGAAATATGTCACAAAAACATCAATTCTAGAAGAAATAAAGCAATGTTTAAATCATTTTAATTCATTCGAGGTTTCTTTTAAATGAATATTGGACAAAATCAACATTGTTTCGAATAAAACAATTGAATAATAAATGCATTTAACGACATGTGCTATATCCAGTTATACTAATTTACATGTATGTAAGCTGGCAATTACGGTAGTTGATATGACATGATTCTGTAGTTTCAATAGAAAATACAAAGTGTGTAAAATCAAGTACACAAAATCACATACCATGTACATTAATTTGACATTGATTATATAAGCGTTAACTATTGCAAAGTATTAAAGATGCTCCCTTCAGGGTAAAGCACCAATGTCGGCCGTCCAACTCGGAACAGCAAAATAGCATTCAATGGGGTAATATACAAAGTCATGAAAGCAGTGTCAACAGGCATGGCGATTTCATGGGATCATCTTCCAAGCTTGTATTACAAAATATAATTTGTGTGTGGATGAGTTTTGAAGTAGAATGGGAAACGACAGGATTTCCTCACAATTATCTCCATATCGCCATACACACAGCCGTATACTGTATTTCAACTAATTAGTCGTATCATTTCTGATCTGTCCACAAGCCTCAGCTATTAACATGTATGGGAGGTCGTTCTTCTCACATTGACGGGAGAGCTATCCTGTAGCACGAGACTTTTAGTGCAAAATTCGAAACTGAGAAGAAAAGAAGAATGAACAGAATTATTGACATAAAATAAAACAAAGCAATACATGTACACTCCAACCAATTACGATTTTAGTTATCATAGACGACATACAATAACATGATTAGTTTATAAAATGGTTAGTCTGTCCGATATGTTTACAGCAAATTATATTTTCCAGTTAATTAGTGTAAAATGTCTCCCAACATTTCATCTGTCTCCTAACATAACTGTAATTGTTTACTTTGTGGATTAGGATTCTACAGCTGTTACTTTTGCGCGGACTAAGATTCTGCAGCTGTTACATTTGCGCTGACTTAGATTCTACAGCTGTTACTTTTGCGCTGACTAAGATTCTGTAGCTGTTACTTTTACGCGGACTTACATTCTACAGCTGTTACTTTTGCGCGGACTAAGATTCTGTAGCTGTTACTTTTACGCTGACTTACATTCTACAGCTGTTACTTTTGCGCTGACTTACATTCTACAGCTGTTACTTTTACGCGGACTTACATTCTACAGCTGTTACTTTTGCGCTGACTTACATTCTACAGCTGTTACTTTTACGAGGACTTACATTCTACAGCTGTTACTTTTGCGCTGACTTACATTCTACAGCTGTTACTTTTACGCGGACTTACATTCTACAGCTGTTACTTTTGCGCTGACTTACATTCTACAGCTGTTACTTTTACGAGGACTTACATTCTACAGCTGTTACTTTTGCGCGGACTAAGCTTCTACAGCTGTTACTTTTACGAGGACTTACATTCTACAACTGTTACTTTTGCGCGGACTTAGACTCTACAGCTGTTACTTTTCTGAGGACTTACATTCTACAGCTGTTACTTTTGCGCTGACTTACATTCTACAGCTGTTACTTTTGCGCGGACTAAGATTCTGCAGCTGTTACTTTTGCGCTGACTTAGATTCTACAGCTGTTACTTTTGCGCGGACCAAGATTCTGTAGCTGTTACTTTTACGCGGACTTACATTCTACAGCTGTTACATTTGCGCGGACTAAGCTTCTACAGCTGTTACTTTTACGAGGACTTACATTCTACAGCTGTTACTTTTGCGAGGACTTACATTCTACAGCTGTTACTTTTGCGAAAACTTACATTCTACAGCTGTTACTTTTGCGCGGACTTACATTCTACAGCTGTTACTTTTCTGAGGTCTTATATTCAACAGCTTATACTTTTGCGAGGACTTAGATTTTACAGCTGTTACTTTACGCGGACTTAAATTCTTCATCTGTTACTTTTGGGCGGACTTACATTCTACAGCTGTTACTTTTGCGCGGACGATTCTACAGCTGTTACTTTACGCGGACTTAAATTCTTCATCTGTTACTTTTGCGCGGACTTACATTCTACAGCTGTTACTTTTACGCTGACTTACATTCTACAGCTGTTACTTTTGCGCTGACTTACATTCTATAGCTGTTACTTTTACGCTGACTTACATTCTACAGCTGTTACTTTTGCGCTGACTTACATTCTACAGCTGTTACTTTTACGAGGACTTACATTCTACAGCTGTTACTTTTGCGCGGACTAAGCTTCTACAGCTGTTACTTTTACGAGGACTTACATTCTACAACTGTTACTTTTGCGCGGACTTAGACTCTACAGCTGTTACTTTTCTGAGGACTTACATTCTACAGCTGTTACTTTTGCGCTGACTTACATTCTACAGCTGTTACTTTTGCGCGGACTAAGATTCTGCAGCTGTTACTTTTGCGCTGACTTAGATTCTACAGCTGTTACTTTTGCGCGGACCAAGATTCTGTAGCTGTTACTTTTACGCGGACTTACATTCTACAGCTGTTACATTTGCGCGGACTAAGCTTCTACAGCTGTTACTTTTACGAGGACTTACATTCTACAGCTGTTACTTTTGCGAGGACTTACATTCTACAGCTGTTACTTTTGCGAAAACTTACATTCTACAGCTGTTACTTTTGCGCGGACTTACATTCTACAGCTGTTACTTTTCTGAGGTCTTATATTCAACAGCTTATACTTTTGCGAGGACTTAGATTTTACAGCTGTTACTTTACGCGGACTTAAATTCTTCATCTGTTACTTTTGGGTGGACTTAAATTTTACAGCTGTTACTTTACGCGGACTTAAATTCTTCATCTGTTACTTTTGCGCGGACTTACATTCTACAGCTGTTACTTTTGCGCGGACGATTCTACAGCTGTTACTTTTGCGAGGACTTACATTCTACAGCTGTTACTTTTCTGAGGACTTACATTCTACAGCTGTTACTTTTCTGAGGACTTACATTCTACAGCTGTTACTTTTACGAGGACTTGCATTCTACAGCTGTTACTTTTGCGAAAACTTAAATTCTTCATCTGTTACTTTTGGGCGGACTTACATTCTACAGCTGTTACTTTTGCGCGGACGATTCTACAGCTGTTACTTTACGCGGACTTAAATTCTTCATCTGTTACTTTTGCGCGGACTTACATTCTACAGCTGTTACTTTTGCGCGGACTAATCTACAGCTGTTACTTTTGCGAGGACTTACATTCTACAGCTGTTACTTTTCTGAGGACTTACATTCTACAGCTGTTACTTTTCTGAGGACTTACATTCTACAGCTGTTACTTTTACGAGGACTTGCATTCTACAGCTGTTACTTTTGCGAAAACTTACATTCTACAGCTGTTACTTTTGCGCGGACTTACATTCTACAGCTGTTACTTTTGCGCGGACTTAAATTCTACAGCTGTTACTTTTGCGCGGACTTGAATTCTACAGCTAAAATTATGTTGCGTGGATATATTTTACAGCTATTGTTTCATGTATTATTTTTGCATATCAAGGGTAAGACGTTTGAAGCGCTACTGCGAAAATTACATGAGTTAGAGTAAGTTAATAAATAGAGTTACGGTAAATTTACGTATTTGATATGCATTTCGAAATTAACAGAGAATTAAGATATTTATAATGAGTTAAGATAAAAACAATAAATTTAAAGATTATCAGTCCCTCATGATGAAAATTCATTTTAAGTGAATATATTCTTAGTCTATCGTATACTTGTACTTGTTAACAAATATTAATGAAAAGTAAGATAATGACTTACTTTCCATACGATAACCTACGACTAGTTATTGTATCAAACGCAATTATGCATAATTTGTAAATCGTAAGCTGTATGTATTGCAGATCATGTGACTTACCTTTCTCCCAGTTCACCGGAAGTGACGGAGACAGAATGAGCTGACCAAGAGTCCGCTCCAGCAAAAAAGCCGAGGAAACTGGCAGCTTTCTTCGTGTAGCGGAGATCAATACTGTGTATTTGCCCCACCTCGACAGGCGATGTGATCAGTTTCTGAAGATTGTGACCAGACGTCAGGTCCACATCAGCACTATATAATGAGGACAATCAAACATTATTCAGAAGGTATAGAGAGTTCTAAAGCATAAGTACGAAGCACTTGGTTGGACTACCTAAGCATGACAACGTTTATGAAGGCAATGCAAGGCTTTGTCAAGGCTCGTAAAAAAGCAGCATCAGTTTTGACCAGCCGAAAATAGGTACGGCATTATAGGTACCTAGGTCGGGTGGCGCAGTAGAAAGCGCACTTACCTTTCATCAAGGCGGCCGGGGTTCGATTCCCCGGTCGGACGTGAAAAGGTAAGGGGTCACCTGCCCGATCACGTGGGTTTTCTCCGAGTACTCCAGTTTCCTCCCACATTTAGACCCTCCGTGCGATAACATCCGAGCCAACAAGAGTGATTAATGTAAGTTGTAAAAACTTGTTTTATAATTGTTGGAAAATAAATGAAGTTTATTTATTTAGGTACCTAGCTGGAGACTGATGAGTGAAGGAGTTCGTAGACATATATTGTAAATGGGACCACAGTCCTGTATGGTTAAACATATAGGATATATGCTTAAGGCACCGAGACTAAAGGTAACAACCTGTTTACATCCCCCCAAAATTTCTAGACCAATGTGATCAGAAAAACATATAAATACATAATACATCCTATTTCTCTGTATATTACGGAACAACATTTATTGTCTTTAAATATTGCATTTTACACATGTCAATCAAAATAAACCATGCGCTATATTGATTAATATTCAATGGGCTCTTGACTATGAAATTTTCCCGTAGAGTTTGTTAGGTGTTGTAAGTTTATGGACATGCACAGCAAGATGTATATTCAGCTGTGTGTGCTTCTTACCCACATTTCTACAAATAACCTCACTGACTCTTCTACAGAGAGATATATTTTTCTCCAGTACTTATTGTCCGCTCCGGTACCTATGACCTGTTCGTTTATGCGGAACCATCGGTTTGTCTGTTTTGAAATGTAACATTTTCGGGTATAAATCCTGGAGGACCTGCACATTTTTCTGATGGCCTTGCAAAGCTTTGTCAAAGCTCGCCTGAAAGCAGCATCAGATTACTAGGTCCGACCTTATTTCGTAAACGAAGAACTCTGGTCCAACCGGTCTAACCGGTTCAACCGTTCGGATAGCGATAAACGAAAGCGACCCCTGTGTTCGGCTACCGAGCGTGCGTCTGGTTTCACCAAGATGGCGACTTACTCTGTGACGCTGTTCCAACCAGAAGTACCCCACTCTCCATTTAATCTCACTGCTACAGTTCCCTTGGAGGTCGCTGAAGAGGCCACTACTACACCGTACTGGAAAGCTGAGGAAAGAAAGTGCTTGTTAAAACTACTCATCAAATGCCAGTTACTAGCTACAGGAAGTGAATGTAGTTAAATGTATTTGTATCATACGGATGTAATATATCCATAAGGAATTGTCCTAAGTACCAGGTATCGCGAAAATGTCAGATAAACTACCAACAGAGTTAGCTGGGTTTGGTGGTGAGAGCTTTCGTATGTAAATACAAAAGTACCACATCAAATACACGAGGAAAACAGAAGTACCAGGACGGATTGCAGAGTTTATAACTTTTCCTGGTCACTCTCTATAAAAGGAAACACACAATGCTTTCAACTGACACGTGTCTTTGTTATCACGCGGGAAAGTTCATAGTATGCTTGCTATTTTGTTCCATGTTCATTTATCCTTAAGGGCATGTCACACACTACCGATGTACCTCGCCGGGACTATAAAGCGGAGCAGAGCATTATCAACGGTGAGAAAATCGGCAGAACTACGGCGAGATAGCACTAGAAAAAAAAAAATCAAAATTGACTGTAGCAAAACCGATGTAGTACCAGCGTTCTCGTTGCGATACCGTTGTTCTACCGTTTTCCTTCCGATGTAAGAGCCGATGTGCTACCGAATACCACTTTTCTGTCGCTAGCACATCGGAGGCGCATCAGTGTTACTTCGGTGGTATTCGGTAGTACTATGTTATCACATCGGTACCAGTACGGTACACATTGAGGACACGGGAGAGCCGCCGATCCATTTCGGGGCGCTACCGGTGCTCTATACCGCCATTACCGAAGACATACCAGAGTACTGCCGTTTCAACCGGATGTTCGCTCCGGCGGTGCAACGCCGAACATTTTTGAGCATGTTCAAAAAGATTCTACCGTCGCCGGCCGTTGCTAAATTGTTCACCAATCTACCGTTCTCTGCGATGTGATATCGTTGGGCTGTCGTACTAATACCGGTCCCCGATATCGACTAAACATATATACTCCGCTATAGCTCCGGCGACCCAAATTGGCTAGGTGTGACAGGCTCTTCAGCGTGAGAACCGCGTCTATGCAGAAAGACATCTCAGAAATGGTCAAGTTAATTGGGTAAAATAGACGTTACTTACCACAAAAGGGGGAGCTGGACTCGGTGTTCAGGTAAAGTTTTCCTCTTGCGTGGTACTGGTCGGCATAGTAACCCATCTGTGCACATCCCGTACTCCCACAACTCAAACACGCGCCATTCTTGAATTTATCCTTGAACAAAAATGAAAGTGCTGTGAACTGCGTTTGCAGAATACGTCAATAAGTGTCGAAACTCACGAAATTACATAATGTGATTTAATGACATGATATAATGTTAGCTTTAGGTCAGAGGTAAAACATCGGTCTTCAGTTAGTAGTGTACACGTATTAGATGGGATTCCTTATTTTGATTTGTACAATCTAAATTCTAAGGAATGTGTAACGTTCTTACAGGGAAAGCAGAACCTTAAAGGTCTTACATAGGATGTACATGGATAGGCCGTGAACGGACATGGTGAGTTGATGGACTCCGTGAAATACTGATGGGAACGTGAATGGCTGCAGCTGACTGTATCTCCCAAATCTGAAAAAAATAACTTGGAGTTTTCGATTCACATCGATTATGTAATTACTAGATTACAACACCGCGAGAACTATCATATATATGATAGATAGATATAACACCGTTAAAAGTGCGAATTGCTAAGAAATCGTGTTACAGGAATCTACTGTGACTTTTGTTCTAGTTTTCATACACATTGTATTGGTAGTTCTTTTGCTTGAGTATATTCTATAAGATTTATTTCCGCTTACTTCTACATGTATCACCATGGTTGTCTGGTTTGTACACTATGGAGTCTAATAGCGTTTGTACACGATTCATAATGTCATCTGGATAGAGTAGCATGGAGAAGTACTTCCGCGTCTACAGCAAACACACCGGTACTAGGAATTATGATGTGAAAGGATGAAAAGTGGACACATTTTCAATATTGGAAATCATTGCCATAACTATTTCTATTGTTAGCGTTGATTTGCCAATAGCTGTGTTCTTTTAAACAAACTGAGTTACTACCAGTTATATCGTCTTTATCAAAAGAAAGCGATTACGGTACTTACGATCCAATTTCCCGTTGAAAATCTGCCCGATAACCCCCGTGATTTGACTAGGGCATCCAGGCTGTGTCTCTCCACCGTTGGCGTAAAAGTCCACGTGACCACTTTGTTCCATTAGACCTGCGCCACCGGAAGAAATAGGAGCCCCGTTGGTGTGGATTACGTCAACGAACATGGCGTCGTCAGCATCAAGACGTATGATTTTGGGATGGTTTTCGAAGTCCGGTTCAGCAGCGTCCAAACCTGTATATATTGTTACATATTCATCGAACCATCAAACACAGCACATTCGTTTCTTGAGACAAAAACTAAAAAAAAACAAAAAAAACCCATGTAATACGCATTTGTCAAATTCCAAATCTTCCTCAAAAAGTGTTTCATGGTCTAAACATGAAGATGATTCATTTTTCGGAGATTTCTATAACAGAAACGCTTAGTCCCAGATTAAACTAAGCGTACTCTGATAATCCGTAATGTACAGTTTATAAACATAAAACACTTTCGACCTACTTTTTACCATCCTTGATACTCCAGGGGTTACGTTCATCCTTGATACTCCAGGGGTTACGTTCACTTTTGCCCTCTGCACCACTAGGATATGTCATTGCAAAATTAAAGGCACGCGGCTAGCTATTTATTTGGTCTCAGGTAAAAAGAACAACGTGACCAATCACTAGGCTGATACCAGTCCTTTGAAAATAACAGAGGAACTGCGCATGACTTCAAAACCGGTCAATTTTACCGTTACGCAACCGAGAGATTCTCTTGATGTACATCAAAGGATCAAACTAGCCTCCTCGTCTCATCCACAAGGTGGTACACACTGAGTCTTCGATTTTGCTATGACATATTCAAGGGGTGTAGAGAGCGAAAGTGAGCGTAACCCCTGTAGTATCAAGGATGCGCTGGAATATGTTATGGTAAAAATCGATGGCACGCGGTCGCCTATTTGATTGGTTTCAGGGAGAAAAAAGACCAATTGCAAAGTTAATACCTTTCCTTAAAAGAAGCGACATCCAACTTCCTAGCGGCCAATTTTACCGTTGCAGTGCCGCGCGACTCCTTTGAAGTACACACAAGAGTGCAAAGAATGTAGGATACGCATGATCTGATCTACTTACTTGTGATACGTTTGATCTATATTATACTTACAAGTGAAGCGCCATTACTAACCTAATTACTAAAAGAATGCCTTGTTTGACCTACTTAGCAGAGAAGCATGCACTTTGACATAGTTACCGGAGATGCGCCCTAACTTTCCATGTAGCAGGTAGCCTGCGTAGCCGCTTGTGTGAGCCCCAAGACTGTGGCCAACAAGATGGAAGTCTGTCAGCCTCGCGCCTGTCAGTACCATCTGGTCGATCATGAGCCGAACCTGTGTGCCCACCATGCGCGTGTTGGCCACCGCCTGGAAGTAGTCTGGGAAGGTCGCACCCGCGCCCCACGCCACGACCACTACGTTCATTGGCTCCTGTAACCACGCATAACGTATTTATAAAGGATCATACAGCACAACCAGTGAATTCTCCATGTATACAATTCGATAACTTAGGTAGGTTATGTTCACTCATCAGACAAATGATTACTAAAGCGTGTGTAATCTCAGGTGTTAAAAATGACGACAAGGTGACCTGGCACGTAGGTGTTGCAGGGTACGTTATGATAATCAAATCGGCTGATTGATTTGGTTACGGTTTATTTGAAATGCGAAAGTTAAGGAGCCCCCAATCTACATCCGGAACTGTCTCGCTTCGGCGTTTTCAGATATGTTTCTATCTGTCGCTTGAACATGTTGCTGCACTCTTTGTCTTACAGTTGGGAATTATTCATTGTCAATTACATGCTTTTGCTATCTGGCAATGATGTGTGAAGTCTTTTTTTCTATTAATTTTGGTATCCGATATGCGATGCATCACAGTTCTTGCATCCGATCTCACATATACGCATTCTGCTACGATTTCTTTAAGGAACATCGTACCACTGTTAAAAACTGTGAATACGTGAAACCGTTTTCAAGACATGACTAAATTAATTACTGAAAAGGAAACCATACCTTGTGGGACATTGACAAAGTTAATATTAACAAACTGTAATCAATAACAGTGTTCTGAGTTGAAAAAAATACCCATTTAGAGGGGCTCAACCGGTATTCGAACCCAGGACCTCAAAATGTTATACTGTCGCTTTAACCGGTCAACGGGTCTCTTCTGACCCAATTGAGCTATTTATGATCCTTAAGTGTTTTGTCATTAAGGCGTACTAGGATGTTACGCCGCGCCCTGTGGGTTTTTATGACTGTTGCTACACTACAAACTATAGGGTATAACACTACATACTATAGTGTATAACACTACATACTATAGGGTACTATAGGGTATAACACTACATACTATAGGGTATAACACTACATACTATAGGGTATTACACTCATACTAAAGGGTATTACACTACATACTATAGGGTATTACACTACATACTATAGGGTATAACACTACTTACTATAGGGTATTACACTACAAACTATAGAGTATAACACTATATACTATAGGGTATAACACTACATACTATAGCGTATTACACAATTTACTATAGGGTATTACACTAAATACTATAGATATTACACTAAATATTATAGGGTATAGCACTACATATTATAGGGGGTAACACTACATACTATAGGGTATTACACTACATACTATATGATATTACACTACATACTATATTGTATAACACTACATACTATAGGGTATTACACTACGTTAATCAGAGTATCACACTGCCAAATAGAGTATTAAACTACATATTTGAGTTTTACACAAAATTGTAACGGGTATTACACCTCATTCTTTAGAGTAATACACTACATACTATAGGGTTTTACACTAAATACTATAAAGTATCAGACTACATAATATAGAGTATCACACTGCATAATACTGGGTATTACACTAAATACTATAGGGTATAACACTCATACCATAGGGTATCACACTCATACTAAAGGGTATTACACTCATACTATAGGGTATTGCACTAAATACTATAGGGTATTACACTAAATACTATAGAATATTACACTACATACTACAGGGTATTACACTCATACTATAGGGTATTACACTAAATACTATAGGGTATAACACTACATACTATAGAATATCACACTAAATACTATAGGGTATAACACTACATACTATAGGGTATTACACTACATACTATAGGGTATTACACTAAATATTATAGAATATTACACTACATACTATAGAATATTTTACTACATACTATAGGGTATTACACTACGTTAAACAGAGTACCACACTGCCAAATAGAGTATTAAACTACATATTTGAGTTTTACACAACACTTTATAGGGTATTACACTAAATACTATAAAGTATCACACTACATAATACTGGGTTTTACACTAAATACTATAAAGTATCACACTACATAATATAGAGTATCACACTACATACAGTGTTATATAGGGTTTTACACTAAATACTATAAAGTATCACACTACCTACTTTAGGGTATAACACTACATACTAATTTCATAAACTCATCCTTCATGTCGTAAAGCCACGTAGTGTTGATAGTATTTGTAAATCCGTGGATGATGAACTTAGTTTTCCGCTTTTGGTTGTAATGTGAATTTGCCACTGTATTCACGTTCGTGTAATCCAGCACTTCCGCCCGGGAACCGCCTTCTGGTGTAAACAAAAGCATAACAGTGCCAATCGCCTCGGGAGATCTTGGGAGGTCGAGATTTGCATTGTCAAATGGGGCGAAGTTGTCGAAACAGCCAACAAAAGGGTAGCACACTGTTCTGTTGGCATTAGAGGGAGCGTGTGCGACCGTTACGTTGTGGACAACTGCAGGACTTGGCGTCGACGTGGCCACCCCATTTGTCTGGTCACTTGCTACAAACAATCAAAACGGAACTCGCTAACTTAAAAACATGTTTATATAAGAGAAAATGTATTTGAGTTTATTTGTTAAATGTACGAGGATCTTATGTATGTTAACCGTAAACTCATCATCATTATCAATTAACTGATCAGATGCAGAAATTTCCCATGATAAGAGGTTAACTGAACATCGGGCATAAAAGAAGAACACCAACCTATAATTTATTGAAAATACGTATCACCTGACCATCACTTCAACTACTATGTTTTCATCAGATACTATCTGCAAGAAAACGTACATTTCTTGTTTGCATAATTACTTACCAAGTAGGAGTGCAATAAAAGACAAAACAATCATGGCGCCGTTTTTGTGGGAATGGGGTGATGGCGGACACTGCTTTGATATGGCAGACCAGATAAGCCCGGCTGTCTCGCCGTGACCTCGGAACCACGTGGTGGGTTCCGTATCGCAAAAATCAGGGTTATTGGAGTTCACCGAAAGGGAGAAAATGTCATTGCAACTGCGATAACGGAAAAACCACTTCCGGGACAGATCGTCAACGCTGACATTGGGTCGGTACAAACTTTTCATTGTGTCAAAGATAGATATGATATTGCAGAAATTAATATTTACAAAATAAAGTTTTAAATCGATTATTCCTTATATTGATATATTACATAAATTACATCTTATACAACAGAAAATAAACAAAAATACCCAATAAAATCACATGTTTATTGATTGTATACACCAGAAACGGATCCAGTAGTTTGGATCATATAGCAAATGTTCACCGAGTTTACAAAGGAAAACACGTTTGTCTTACGTCTGGGACGCTCACGATAGGCATTTACGAGAAAAGACCTGCACCTGTCTTCCATGAAAGATACAACACTACTGAAGTGACACGTGATTACTGGTATCGATCTTTATCTGACTCTAAAACTCTTTTAACCTCCCATTGTTCTCTTTTTCTCTCTTATTCCTTTTCAACATCCTTAAAAGGATGTCAGCAAGTGAAACGGTATCCATGGCCACCAATTGCACAAATGATATCGTTGTTAGGTTGTGTTACGGAAAGCTTGCGCGACATGCCCGATTGATAATCTCGCGACAAATCTCCTGAAATTTTCTAAATTACTTTAATAATGCAATTTCATATTACACGAGACCTTTTTTAAGCATGATTATTGAAATCGACTTTTTTTAACCTTTTTATACCAAATGGAATTATCCGGAATGCAAATTCAAGCTATAGCCATCTGAAAGCGTTGGATCGCATAGCATTAAAGGTAAACTATAAGATAGGGGAAATTAGCATAGGAGCATATCCTTTTTCGCTGAATAACCTTTTAATGGCGAATATTGAATATTCCTTGTAAGAATCGTTACGACTTTATGTGGTTAGCAAGACAGACTTTATTTCTATTTCATTGAAAAATGAAAATATTGAGTGATTTTTTATTGTTAGATTTTCAATTAATCGATAATAGCTGTTGTAGCAATATAACGAGGACGCTTTACCCGTGATTAGGTATACACTGATTAAAACGCCTTTGACTTCATTTAAAGAATTTGGTTTTTTTAATTTTGAATGTGAAGGAAGAGAAAACGCTTATTACTAGAATGGCTGCAGGACCGTATGCTCAACATAAGCTTAGTTTATCCATATTTATTGTCAAAAATTTAAAAAAAAGTTACCAATCACAAATTATAACAACTTATCATAGCGTACTCCTGAATACAAGGCACGTGATGTGAAATGTTATGGTATGACCGCAAATGTACAACCAGATTGATTTCGAGATGGTCTTTTTAAACTTTTAAGGATGATTGCACAGGAATACGATTAAAAAAAAAATCACGTATTAGTTCGTCACAGTTTTATTATACTAAAGTTAGTTTGTAAAAGTAATATATGAATTATTTGGTGTTATTATATTTGGAAGTTTACAAGTTAATCGTCGTCATGTAACAGGTGTCCATTACTACACCCGATAGCCCCCGGTCTTCACACGGATAATAACACTGTTTGGTAAACAGGGATTCCCTGTATATACCAGGACAAAATACACCGCATCATTAATTAATCGTGTTCCGTAAAGTAAACCAAATACCGGACTTCGTACTCAATAATTATCGCAAGGAGCTCTATACGAGAGAGGCATGGAGGTGGTATTTTCACCCGAGCCACTCCTTCCATGCTTCCTAGTCTCCTATCCCGCCATCACTGCCAATCTACCTGGCTACTTATACTCCCGTGTGTCTCATCACTACCCTACTTTGACGGAATAAGAAACTCATCATTTATTCAACAACCTCCAATAACATTTCTTACTTGTGACTTTACCTGCCCAAGATGAAAGACAGTGCCATCTAAATAACATCTACCATCTACAGGTAGATAATTACATAAATTATTAATCAGCTGTGGGGCCTCACAGATCTAGACCGGACGAATCTGGGCGATACAGGTAGATAGAGAAAAGACAACATCGCGAACGGACGTAAGAAACAGTTATTGAGTATATAGAGAGAACATCCGAACGACCCCGTGCGATGATACCGAGACCTATACTACTAAGTCTCCTGGTGTCCGTCTGTCTTGGGACAGTGTCAACTACGTCGCAGTATGGCGTTATTAAGGCAAAATTTACTCGGAACAACGAACTGTCCTTCCCAGGGAAGGTGTTTGAGAACCATGTCATCAAACAGTTTAGTACCAAGTACCAGGTGACGCACTGTGCCATGGAGTGTTTCCTCAACGTCCGGTGCCAATCTTTTAACTTTGACGCCAGTATCCGGTCGTGTCAACTGAACGACGCGTCCCAAATCGATTACCCCGAAGACTTGAAGAACACGAGTACGCCCACGGCGGAGTATCACCTCCGAAACGCCTTCTCTTTGGACTCCGTGAGTACTTGTACAAACTCGCTAACTATAACGAGTCCGTGACCTTTTGATAGGGTCGTTCTCTTTAGTGTAATATCCAGAAAATGACATTTATTGTACTTTTTTTCATTTTGTTGTGATTTATTTGAACTGTTTGACTTTGGTATCAATGGTAGATTTACTATCTTTGTTAGTATCGTCTGAATTAAGCCCTCTCAAAAGCATTTTTATACTGTATTCATTACTGTACTATAACACCATTTGAACGAAAAACTGAAACGAATTTGTTTGTTTAGAATTTTTCTTTCTTTCTGTAGCGTAAAACATAAATGGAATAGCATGTGCCGTACATTGGCATGTAAAACGAAAAGAACATGTTTGAAAAATCAAAATGAAAGGTAGAACATTAGAAATTATAATGAAAAGTAAAGTTACTAAAAACTAAAATTGTATTGCTCTATCGTGAGAAATGAACATTTTAGGAAAGGTCAGGATACTACTTTTCGTCATAGCCTTTAAACCCAATAGTTCAGGATGTTAAATTAAAACAAATAACCACATTTTTATTTAAAATACGGTAAAAGCACAAAATAAAAATCAGATAAGGTGTAGCCAAAGTATATATATATAATATTATACCATCCACTGTCTTCCTATGACAAACGTATGGAGCATTTCAGCTTCCGAAGGGCGGCACACATTGACTGGCCCGAGTTTCAGCAGAAAGCATTGCTAAAGTTGATGGAAATGCTTAACCATAATGTTTTCCTTCAACTTCAGAAATATTACAAGAAAAGTAATATTTGTAAAACAGGGTTAAGTGTTTAAATAAATCCGAATTCGAATAAAAAATCGCTTAAACTTGAGCAAAATTTCAAAGAAGAGAAGATTAAATGGACACCCTTGAAAGGATACAGGAAGAAAAAGATTTAAAAGGGGAGGCGTCTGCTGCTTCATCCACGACAACCACTATGATAATTTAGGTAAAATCAAAGTAATGTCACGTCGTCCTAGCGAGAAATGGAGAGTTACAATAAAATAACAGTACATTATAATGAACATAATCAAAATAATCAAACTTTATTTCAAACAAAGAAGTAGCATATTTCCCAATGAGATCGTGATTGTGACCAGGATAATTATTCATAATCTTCATCAAATTGTATTTTTCAACTCTGTGTTGTAAGATTTGCCATCAGCATATTCGGAGCAAGCTCTTTTGAAAATACCGAATCAACTTCGACATGTTATTGGTGGGGGAATAGGGGTGTTACTATCAAGAAAGGGGAAGATAAACTACCCGGATCATGTTGAAGATCAAAATATTTATCATAAAATAATCGACATAACATAATATACAGCCTTTTGTCAGAAGGTACGTACTTTATAACCTTTGTAAAGATGGAACATCTTTATTAATCCATCACTACCCGAAAAGTCAACTCGGAAATGTTGTCTATACAGTGTATCTCAAACTCCCGTGCTATACGTCAACAAATGGGTTATTTCCGCAGTCGCCCCTGAATTCGTCAGCAAATGTAATCTTCAGTTTCCTGCCAAATAACAGGTCACAAACGGATTTTCCTCGATATTTCTTATATTTTTTTCATTTTTTTTCTGTAAACTTTTCTTTAGTCAATTATGACGCTATCGAAAGAAACCTTCGCATTATGAAAGAGAGTTTTTTTTTTCTCTCATAAATTTACACAATTTCCCGTTTAGCGGTTGTTATAACATAACTTATTAATCTCGGAATTCAAATTTTGCTATAAAGTTTGAGATAATTTGAGATAAATTTAAAGTTAAGAACAAATTGCCAAACAAAAAGCATTCCTTTTCAACTCTTAATGGTAAGAACTAGACTGTTGTGAGAGAAACATTCTGATACTTCTCTTCCTTTGTGCATTTTTTGTTTGTCTCAGTAGCGTTACAATTGACTTAACTAAAAATTCACTAAAAATGCAGAAATGCATAAAATGCATTAAGTAAAGAGTAAAAATAACTTGTGTCTTTCAATTTGGCCCAGCACTGTATATGTCAGTTTGTTATTCCGTCGGTAAATGTAGTCTTTATTCCAGTCACCCGTAAATTCATTGGCAAATTTAGACTTTATCCAAATCCGTAAAATCAATTAGAACGTTCATCTCCCACAAGTCCTGTCTGAAATAACTGAGTATCTTCTCTTCAAAGTGTTAACATTTGCTAAATGGAGCGGAGTCCAAAACGTCCTCCGTCGGGTCTCTTTGAAAATCTGCTCCCTGGGTTTGGTGTACACTTACTTAGTAAATCAATGCTTTCATGTATTACAGAGCATATAAATATAAAAACAAGAGATAAGCAGCTGTTACAGACTGCCTTAAACCTATCAGCAATTGTATGGTTTAACTCAGTCACCCCGTCAACATAGGTTTGCTTTAACATTTTTTGGTGTAATTATAGCCTGTTTCACCAGTAACATGTTGTAAAATGCTAATGTGTTACACGATACATGTACATCTTTACCCTCAAATATATCGCTAAACCGCTACTATAGACCTAACTTGATACCGTAACGTTTGGCACGGTTTCACTGTATAGTGTCGTCGGACCGTTAGCTTTATCGTATTGACGTAGTAAGATTGACAGATACTCTATAATTAACACAATTAAATCTTAATTAACACGATTTTGGTATATGTTTACACTATCAGAAAATAAAAATGCTGTTCACAAGTTCTACACAAAGTGAAAGTACAACTTCTATATTATTTTTTATATTTTTTATTCTGCACAGCTGACGAAAAACGAATCAAAATATAACTCTAGAACTTTTGAATCTTTGTTTGTTATTTTCATTCATCTTGTGTGGTTATGTAGACTGAAATCCAGGCACACATTACTTATAAAACCCTTTATCTCAGTAAACGTAGTCACGTGTCTTGGTAATTTTGAATTTTATCATAACATGTGAATTTCCGGTACAAAGACTTTTAAGGTCGATTATAGACCGTGTTATTAAGTTTGTTTTGGATAAGATATCTCGGCCATTGGACGATGCCATGCACAAAGTAGGGAACTCAAGTTCACGGATAAGACGGTACACGAAAAGCGGGCAAGAAAACAGCTACGTGTTGTGTCATTTAAGAAGTTGTTAAACGTTTATAAAATTACATTTTCCCCCTTGTAGAGGCAGTCGTTTGTTGGTTTGATTTACCAGCATTCTTAATATCTCAGATATCTCAGGCCTTTAACAACACTCAATGATGATGAGTCAACATCAACACCAAGAATTGTTCAAATGACTATTTGTTTATTATAACAGCGAATGATTGCAGTATCATCCGCCATTACTCCTCGGTCAATAACAATCGGGATTTTGCTTCACTGTTCCTTTTCTAAAAGATTGGGACATTGATGAGATCCAAAATTGATATGCTACCTCCGTTTGTAACTGTTGCATGCATACCTTGATCTTGTACCTTGGTTCAATTTTCTTATGTTGATGCCCATGACGATTTTGTATTTGATTTCAAAAATTGTAACGGCCTATCAACACTACAAGGTCATATAAGGTTAAACTGTATAACTTGAGCAAAAGATAGGGTTTGCTAAGAAACAAAGGTTCACGATGAATTTCCGAATTTCAGTGTCAGTTTTCTGTTGTATTTGTTGTCGCCTCTTTTCTATTATGTATTTATTTGCTGATGATGTTTTTTTGCTATATTACCAGACACCTTATTAATTCTCTTTTACGTCCTTAAAAACCTTATCTGTTGATGGGACGTCAATTTTTTTATACTCTATTTCTACCCTTTCATGCGTAGAGAACTCCCTCTAATACATAATGTATACAACTGTACATAGATTCTTGTGAGTTTAAGTTGTTTATCCTGACACTTGCCACCATATTGGCCAATTGGCAGCGCTGACGTAAACCCTATACAAATGAAGGTGAAATATATCTGAAATAGTTTTGCCGTGTGGTGCAATCGCCCGCAGCCCCTTCATTGTCGTGTGAGAACCCCATAGTGTTTTATCGATTAGCCAATTAGACGCCCGCGTTGGCATATTGACATCACACGCAAACGGATCGCACCGAGCGGACATAGGTGCTCACGGTAACATTAATAAATGACGAGGATTACCTGTGAAACACAGTACGAATCAATACCGTCCACATAACCATACCATAGATATATGCATTCCCCAAGCGATTCTTATTAACCATTTCCTGTAATTAAATCGAGATTTATGCTTTGGAATGAAATATTCACGAACGGAACTATTCTAGAGATAGCAAATACTTTGCCATTCAATTCGTCTGCTTGAAAATGCATTGGGCTGTAGATTTGAGATTTTCTTCACATTACAATCAATCTTTTGATTTCTTTTTGCTCATTGACCTATGACTTCAACATAGACCAGATGCAGAATGGTAGTTTTACCTAGCAATAAAGACAGATAATGGACAGTTTTTCATAAGTGTTTAGAATGTTGCTGGAAAAGTTTTAATAGAAAGATTTACGGTTGTCAGGCCATTATAAAATATAACAAAACACAGGGCTAGAATATCAATGATAAATACGATAAATTATATCATACGAAATTGTCACACGTTCCATATAAATAACTGATTTTAGTACTATTTTTATAAAAAACAAACTACATTTGCCCTAGCATACTTGTATTATAACGATGTCATTTACATTTAGATGCCAGATTTAAAATATACAAAATCAGGGGAACTGAAATAAATGTCTCTTGTCGTATAATGAATTGAGCTTCACTTTAAAAAAAACACCACCATAATAATACCTGAAAAAAGTTTTACTACTTCATAACAAATGAGAATATGTACTTATTTAATATGTATGAAAATGTAAAATCGTATGAACCAGCTCTTTTCATAATTGTTCCTTAATGCTGTAGCATCTTTTCTTCATGTTGAAACAGAAAGCTGTGGGTCCATGCGGAAATTTCCCATGTCAGAATGGCGGCCGCTGTCTTGATACCCAAACCATCAACGGGGAAAGGACGTATTTGTGTATTTGTGCTGACGAATGGACAGGAACCAACTGTGACGTCAAAGGTATTTTAGAGATGCATGATGTATAGCGATGATTGTGTATCCCAGTCATTACTCAAATCCTCATGCTTAAAACATCGAAGTCATTCATCTTTTGAGATGGTCAGTGCAGTTGAGATAACTATTACGAGTCACTCTCAAATACACGTATTCCATAATGAGGTAATAAAAACTAATAAACGTTAATTACTTTATATGTATATTCACATTTTGATAAGGATATTCCTTTTTTTGGCAGCTCACACTATAGAATGGTCTGATTGGTCCGATTGGGGCACGTGCTCAGCCACGTGCGGAAATAGCAGACGACACCGTACCCGCCAATGCATGGACAAGGAGACCGATAAGTCCGTCGACGCCCGGTTATGTTATGGGCCTGAAGAAGACTTCGACTTTTGTCCCTTTAAGGAATGCCCAAGTAAGGGACACTTATAAATAGGAATGTCTTGGTAATGCAAGACAATAGCAAGTGATATGTGGGTAAAGTACTGGCAATAAGTAGAGCTATCTAGATAGGTAACCACATTAAGTACTGTAGGGCCTTATTTAACTCAGGCAATATCTACTGTTGATGACGTCACACAATTGTGTCTCATTCTCGGAAACAAATTGCTTACTCGAATTGCCCATATATAGTGTTATTGACGTCATGGAAACGTGTGACGATGTAGGATAAGGTTATGAGATGATGACCCCAGTTTATGGGAACACATATTATTGAGTAAAGTCAGCGTAAACTGTAAAAATAGTTTAGTTACATCTTGACGTAAAATTAAGCTGCATTATTGATTTCGAGAAAATATAGATATACAGTTAGTCCAGGTTCTATCAGTGATATATATGAGAGTAGCTTCTTTTATGTAATGCGTAACGTCAATAATGGTGACAGACTCCAACAATACATCTCTCAAAGCATGTTTGTATTAAAAATAAGACTGCTTTGAGGTTTTTAAAGAAGTGTTTTGAATGGAGGAAAATTCGCGAAAATTTAACAAAGACTGAATTCATGTAAAGAATAGTGCATATTGACATTTACAACCAAGACTATGCTTAATGAGCAAGGTGATAACTATCAACCAATATGTTCCATCACACATTTACTATTATGCATTTTCCGAAAAAAAATACATAGCAATAAGTAATTACACAACAGCTATAGCTGTACAGTAAACCTTCGTTTTCGTGGAACACGATATGTATTGTTTTGTTATTACTTCTCATTCGTAACCATTGATACTGTTGACAGTGTGGGACAACTGGGGAGAATGGAATACATGCTCCACCAACCATTCATGTGGGCATGGCACAAAGGAAAGGTCAAGGACGTGCTTACACAATGGGGTACCAGGCGTGGATCGGTACTGTAAAGGGGACACAGTCCAGTATGGTACTTGTGAGGGTATCGTTTGTCAAAGTAAGTAAATCTCCAGTATTACTGCGTAGGGATATAGTTTTAATATAACCGGTAATTTTATCTAAATGATTTATGGGAGTCCTTTATGTAATTAATAACGAAATTTTATTATAAATTGAAAACAAGTATGTCTTTTTAAAGTTTAGTGCATAAAGTATTTGGAATGTTTAGGTGCTGTGCGGCTTGTTAATGGCCCCGAATTCGGTGAGGGCCGCGTGGAGATGTGGAACTCGAAGACCCGGATGTTCTATCCCATTTGTGAAGAGAACTGGAATATGACGTCAGCTGAAATAGTTTGCAGACAGAATGGATTCATGGGAGCTTTCGGTGGTACGCTAGCATTGTCTTATTTTGCAAAATTACCATGACCTTATTATCTTGAAGTATGTGTTCCTTCGGTTTTACCTGCCGTTTTTGAACTCGTTATCTAATCCATACAAGCTTGTCAGCATGTTAAGGCTGTCACAAGAAAGGTGTATGTGAAGAGTGTGTACTGTCTGATAATGATGTCAGCTATGTACTCAAACCTCACTCTCGATTATAAATAGTTTAGATACTACAGACGATTTATATAATTTGATACAGCCATACTTCAAACTGATTGAAGCCAATATTGCACAAAATTAAAAGGGTCCATAGAATTAAAAAAAAAAGTCATAATTCCCTACCGTAATAAGCAATGTTTCTCGTCAACAACTTCTATCTATGTTCGTTTAGCAGAAACTCGTCATTTTTTTTCTTTCAATGATTACAATAAGTATTTTGTCAGTGCACAACGTTTGGTCACACACCGAAAAAGGTTTAGTTCTAATTGAAAATAGAGCACATCTATCCGAAGCATAAATGTCATATAGGTGTGTTATAGTTCACATTTTAACAACAATTAGAAACACCCTTTCAAAAATTAATACTTGCATGGTAACCATGTCTTAATATGTTTGTTAGAATTCTTTTATCTTAGGAATTATGTTAGATTGTCTAAATCAATAACTGACCGATTGATTGGACGTTTCAGTATTTCCGTTTATTGGTCCTTCAAAATCAGTAACTGTCTGTTCGACACAATAGTAATTTTTTAGTCATTGTTTGTGGCAGTGGTGAAGAATGCTTCGTACGAAGAAGTAGAGGACTCGTCTATCTTTTTGACAACGACTTGCCAGGGAGATGAAAGGTTCCTCCAGGAGTGTCCAAGGCAGGAGTCAGATGCGTGCCCGGGATCAGCCGGGGTCAGGTGTAGAGGTCTGTTCTTAATTTATGTCGAGAATAGCACTTACTAACAACCTAAACTCTGTCATTATGTAAATTAATACTATATGGCATGAGTAGTTTCTCATCTAAAAGTCAGTGTTTAGAATATCTCTTTCTGCGTGTGATACTACTGTTAAAACTTTGGAAATAGATATGGTTATTACACGGTTTGATACATTATTGAAGTTGTTTATACTGTACTTGAATGTCTTTGCTTTCATATAATTTTGTACAGGATTCATGGTTTGACGAAGAAACGCTTTGCGAACTTACCCGTATATCGTAACAGCAAACAGTTTCGAGTAACTCTCCTAAAGTCAAGATCACGTGACTTCGGAAAATGACCACAAAAAACGGAGGTCATTATTCGTATAAAGTACTTAATTGAGGACATAAATAAAACAGTATTATTTCTTTACTAATATTTATATGATTTCTTATAATGTTACATCATTTGTCAATATTATTTATCGAATTGTTTTAGTGAAGGGGGCATGGGCTCTTTGGTTGGAATGGAGTGCATGCTCAGTCACGTGTGAAGACGGGAGGAGAACGAGAACTCGGACATGTGACCACCCACCGCCCAATCACGGAGGAGAACCGTGCCCAGGAGACGAGATTCAATACAAACCCTGTACAGAGATCATGTGTCCAGGTACTTATCATCAATACATCAATGTAATGATTATCAAAATTATTTTAGAAATGTATTATGAGGAAGAGAGGTCATTACGACAAAATTCATATAAATATTTTAATAAATAGATACAAAGGAAATGAAAATTTTATCCTGTATTATAGTTTGAAAAAATAAATAGTGGGCGCTATTACTATTCTGAATTCAGCCACTGGTCGGTATTCCTTCTTCGCGTATTGCAGAGTTATCTTCTCTTGGGAGCAGGTATTGATTGTTACGTCACTTGTTCGTGAGAGTAACGTCATCAATTTTTGAGAAAACGACGTAATTTTCTCGCACAAACCAATGACGTAACAATCAATACCTGCTCCCAAGAGAAGATAACTCTGCAATACGCAAAGACGGAATATGATAAATGGTATCTTTGTGGATGCATACACCAGATTTAAGCCCTTTTATCAGTGTTTCGTATCACAATTCCATGGAAATTGTTTATGAATTAAAATTTTGAAAAAAGACGTTTGTAGAATAAATAATGAATTATTTAGTTTTTTTTATTTAATCTATAAAGAAACATTTTTTTTTTTTACAATTTTATTTTTCTGTTTTTCTGCATGGTGATTAACATTTGGGTAAAACAATGAGTGTTTAGGTTGGTTTCACCTACCATTGTTTCCGTCGTCTTTTCTTTCTCCCTGCTATATCAGTCTGTATAAGATTACTGTGCATGATACCAATCATTGATGGCTTTAAAGCAATGCGATTTTGCCATTCGAACTGTCGCTTACATTATACATTGCGGAAATGTAATCACAGCGATTTTGCATTCTTTTTTATTTAGATTATTTAACTGTTACTCAAATGAAATGAAATTGCCTGATGACAATTAAATACATTATTACCTTTATCAAACTCAGTTTAGATTTCTTATAAAGTCGGTTTAGAAATCGCTTATGAATATACTGAGATATAATCTTGCAAAAAGTTTAAATTCATGTTTTTTCACAGCATACTGGAAAAAAATATATGAGAAGCATCCGATAATGAAAAGTCTGATTTTTTTTTATCTTGTGCTAAGTCTACACTTGTTAAATTGATAGACATGCGTAACTTCTGGAAGGCATGTTTTAGGTGGGGGAAAATCGGGATTTTAATAAAGGAAACGGTTTTCCATCATTTAAGACAACGCATTTATGCTGTTGACATAATGTTGAACAATATTTTAACGATCAATATGGTTATGACGTTATATTCGTATTCAAATGACCGCGTTTGACGGACTATTTTCAAACGAATACTTATCATTTGTTCTTTTCAGCATGGGAAATTGATATAGCAATATATTGAAATTACATTAAAATTAATGCTTACATTCATTGTTTCGTCATAAAATATCGGAAGCACTGATCTTTTATTTTTCGTTTTTCTTCACATTTAAAGTTCAAATCCCAATTATTATTGAAATGTTCACTGTTAAACTACATGTAATGTGAAACTGTCAATCACCATATTTGAATTTTTCATGAAATGAACAAAATCAAAGATATATATATATATACCACATATCACTTGCTTTGATATGTGTGAATTGATCTCTGTAATTAACCCATTCTTAATTTATTTTCCTTCTTATCCAGCGGGACTGCTGAGTCCCCTTCGTGTAAATTAACCCATTCTTAATTTTTTCTCCTTCTTATCCAGCGGGACTGCTGAGTCCTCTTCGTGTATATTAACCCATTCTTAATTTATTCTCCTTCTTATCCAGCGGGACTGCTGAGTCCCCTTCGTGTAAATTAACCCATTCTTATTTTATTCCCCTTCTTATCCAGCGGGACTGCTGAGTCCCCTTCGTGTAAATTAAAATAAAGCACAAAACATATCGTTGTTATCTCTGCTTTCAAATTCATTTTAATTGATTAAATCTTGTGAAATAAAGGTGATTTTCAGTGGACATAGGCCTAACCTTGCCCTTGCTGTTGCAGTGGTTCTGTGGAGTGAATGGTCTGCGTGTAGTGTCGAGTGTGGAGGAGGCACACAAGCTCGATCCCGCCAGTGCTTATATAATCCCGCTCCATGCATAGACAGTCCACCCCAGTCTCAGCCCTGCAATACAAGGCCGTGTAGCGGTACTGATCATTACAGCATCACCACCACATCGTATACCGTCCCAAGCTTACATCACATGATATAACCTTCCTCGTATCCTACCTTGGTCCGTTATTGTAACTGTATACTTCCACTTCATCCTGACCGTTTAGAGGAAGATATGACTTTAACAGAATTCCTTCTCAAATTAATTGCGACATTTACGTTATGTGTTAATGTACATTATATTATCTACGCATACCATAAATGTCCATTCGGCGCATCTACATAGCAGCTTTCAACCGCAAGGCCTTCCCAGTCATATCTTCTGGATATCACCGATACACATGTTTACGCTATCCTTACCTCTATCCACCTGCGTAATATCATCCAACGGCGGATCCTGCTTGTGTTTTCCTCCTCATTCCGCGCATGCTTATCCACAGTATATATTCTCTCCAAGGACTCCTGATACAACATAGCGTTGTTGGCCTTTGCGCTCCCGTTCCAAGTTTATTTTACAGACGACTCGGCATGCTGTTGTTCCATTTAATTTTACATGTGATTTGTTATACTTTGTTTGCATCGTTTTCACAATGCTTCTTACCGTAGATTTGGGTGGGGTTTAAAAAACAATGGGTATGGAGGAATCAGGTTTCTGATTGGTTGACTAATGATACGTTACCAACGCAGTGGATGGTTATTGGTTGACTTGGTCTGATTGGTCGAAATGCTCTGTGACGTGTGAAAATGGAACCCAGTTCCGGACGAGGGTGTGCAACGAACCTCTTTACAACGGGATACCATGTGAAGGTCCGAAACAGGAAAACAGAGACTGTTATCCTCGAGAATGTCCAGGTAGGTTCTTTTCAGTTAATCAAATGCTTAATTATCTTGCATTAATAATCATCTACAATAGATTTGATACACAACTTCACGTTCATAATCGTGTTTTACCTGCTCGACCTTATTTATACAGTGTCCTTATTAATAGTATAATCAGCTTGTGAACCACAATCCTCTCACTTGTGTTGAACAGTGGATGGTGAATACGAGCCTTGGAATGAATGGACGCCGTGTACATCTTCGTGTGGCTACGGCACGAGGTTCAGGAACCGCACGTGTAATCAACCCCTTCATGGCGGTGATGTATGCCCGGGGGTGTCATCAGAGACCGAAGTCTGTAACGCTTTCTCGTGTCCAGGTATGTCAACAGATAAAGGCCCCGGGCGTAAGGTATGACAATTCCAAATGCTCCATGAGCTCTTTCACCAATCTTCAATGTCTGAGAAACACGATTTCAAGTGATTGATATTGATATAACTGGACTTATTTTGGCTCGGTCGGCCGTGAGGTCTAGAGAGATTGACAGTGCTTCAGACCTAGTGCGACCGAAAGTGTGGGTTCTAGTACTGGTTTCAGAGGTTAATAAATATTGCCTTGAAGTAGTTGCTATATTGTGTTTATATTTGCGCAGTCCTAGTAGCATCTATTTCCACGTCAAACTTAAAATCATGTGATCGAGTTTGCAATTAAAGCAATAGGAAGTGAAAAGTCCTGCGGGAAAGCATTCCGGTTTTATTGTTACAATTTTCTTTTTGAAAGCTAAAAAAGTCATTTTGCTTCCTTCAGTTTGATAACAATAAACATACCAATCAATTTTGTGTGACATTTAACTATTGATGCTGGAGGAATCTGATTAGTTTAATTAAAGTTATGAAAAGAATATAAATAAAATTTGAACATTCTGATTGAAGTGTCTGTATGCCCTGCGTTGTAATTAACAGTGGACGGTTCCTGGAAGCAGTGGTCAATGTGGGCGGACTGTACTGTCACATGTGGCACGGGAACTTCCAACAGGTCTCGTGAGTGTGATGACCCCCTTCACGGCGGATCAGATTGTCCGGGACCTGCCAACCAGACTAGGACGTGCAATGACTTTCCTTGTCCGAGTAAGTATGTAGGAACATACCTTTAGCTACTAAAATGTAAGAGCCCAAAATTGTTTGTTTCCAAATTTTGGAGAGAGACTTCCGAAGTTTCATTTTCTTTTTGCAACTTTTGATATCAGCCGAATTTATCCTACATTTAACTTTATGCCCAGTTAAATTAATCGATTGTTTAAAACAGCCTTACTGTAGCATTTTAAACTTTTCTTACACGAAAGTTATTCACAGTAAAGTTGAGAAAATATCAATTTCTGTCAAATAGTTTCTGTCCTATAAAAAGCTAATGAATACGACGGACAAACTATCTTGATAGGGAAGGTATAAGTAGTTAAACTGGCTTTGCTTCTGCTAACCATGGTTACTGACTAATAACTTATGGGGCTTCAATAATTTGAACGCTAAGTTATAAACAAAATAGATGCCAAACTAAAGTATTGTTTTTTCCACCACATACTATTTGTGTTGGCATTTCCAGTCGACGGAATCTTTAACACTTGGGCTGAATGGAGCGTATGTTCTGTCACGTGTGCCAACGGGACACGTGACCGGCACAGAACCTGTTTTGGTCCTTTCCACGAGGGGGCCAACTGTACAGGCTCTGACTACGAGCAGGAGGTCTGTGTTTCCCTGAGTTGTCCAGGTAAGTCCTGATTAATTCATTATCTCATTAATTTCTCCTTTTAGACGTGATTTTGTCAATCAACGTGATAAATTAATATTAAAACTTTGAACTTCAAGTTATATACCGATGTTGGAGTGCAAACATAAACAACATATTTTAAACATTTCATTACGTATGTATTTGAACACCCGGGGTTGAATTCATGAAACGGTTCTCATGTTCAGGCATGGATTCTGTGCTCAAACCGACTCTCGTGTAACTCACTACAATAATGTCAAACGATCAAACATTCAAATGTAAACATTAGAAATAGTGATCGGCTTTAAGTCTCTATAATTTATTTTCAAATCATGGCCAAAATAAGATTGTTTTTATTCATTTTTAACTTTTTTAACAAGAAATTAGGCCTGAGCACAAAATTCATGCTGTAGCATGAAAATGGTTTCATGAATACAGACCCTGGTCAAAATACCACTTCTGGATGTAGAATTTACAGTTGCTGACATAAATATGGCAGAAAAAATAAACAATTCGTAAAGAAATGACAGTGACATCACACGCTTTCTGGTGAAGAAATGAGTATGTTTTGCCTCAGTTGACGGTGTCTGGGAGGGATGGTCTGGCTGGGACACGTGTAATGTCACATGCGGAGGGGGCGGACAAAATCGCTATCGGGACTGTAAGGGACCCTTCTTCAATGGTGCTGAATGTGAGGGTCCAACCATGGAACAGAGGGACTGTAACATGCACAACTGTCCCAGTAAGTGAGAGTACAATCCTTAAAATATATGTTTGATCAAAGCCGGGAGAAGTTATCTGAAAGAAAAGCTTATAAAATTCGACTTTTGCAGGACATTGCAGTTATTGGCATAGAATTCTTTAGAACATCGTAAAGTTAAGCCAATGATACAAGTGATAAATTTATCATACTTATTATTTGAATTTAAAGGCAGCCATAATGAATAGAAGTAACTGGATTCAAATGCAGTCAATACAGATGACTTGCATTAAAGCAGGACCTTATGAAAAATGGGCATGGTAGATGAATAATGTTGTGATTAATATTTTCGTCTTGTTCCTTTATATACACGTCTTCATTTAACGTTAGTACATTGTCTTACTACCTGTTCACAGTCGACGGAATCTGGACTATGTGGTCAAACTGGACTATGTGCAGTGTAACATGCGGGGGAGGTCTGCAGGACCGAGAACGCACCTGCGAGGGACCCTTTTACGGGGGTGCCAATTGCACGGGTGAAGAAGCACAAGAACGAGAATGCAACACACACAACTGTCCAGGTCGGTATCACCGCCCTGTCGGCTGCCTCAGTATGTCTGTCGGTACTCCGTTACCTCCTGCATTATCTACTTGGTCATCCATCTACTGGTCAAAACCAGTGAAATCCAACCTCAGTTCAATTTGAATAGCAGCCTGTAACAATATACGTCTTATCAAACCGTTGTTGAATGTTGATACAATGCATATTTACAATGGATAATATTTTGGAGTTAAAAAGTCACACTAAATAGGCTGACTGAATGCCACTTCTCATTTATAAGTAGCATCATTTAAACGCGAAATGTAATTAAAATTCAATTCAAATATGACCAAGTTGATAAGCATGGATGACGGTGGTTAGCAGGCATTTCGAGGTAGACGCCATTTGGTCTCCCAAAGGTTTGCAGTGATCCAAGCTTATATTCCGCAGTGTGATTCCCCTGCTCTCTCTGCATGACGTGTGAAACTCATACTCGGAAAATGTCTCCATCCCACAGCCACCTGTAACATGGAACGTACTGAAAATACAAGAAAAAAGTCTTTTACTAATGTGTTTATGCCAAAAAAAATAAAAAAAATTGATCATATATGATGGTGATTCTAAATATTTTTTAAAAACTTTTATATATAAAATTACCGTTTTATGAGGACTTATTATGCGAAGTATTCATTAACATAGGATTGTACGTATACATTATAAAAATCATGAAGTCTTTCTACTCCATGTTCCATGTGTTATATGTGGATTGTATATGACATATACAAAAAACCCAACTATAGCATGGGTTGTCTACCCGTAGCATGAATATTTCCTCGATCAATCCTTTCCTATTGACACGTCTGAAATGATTGTACAGTTATCACGAGTGTTAAACCTTCCCTTGGTTTTGTATGTGACCCCATACCCTTTTGGTTTGGATTTGACCCGTTGTTTTGTAGTGGATGGTTACTGGCAGTTATGGTCCAACTGGACCTCCTGTAACGTCAGCTGTGGAGGCGGTATGACGTGGCGAACACGTGAGTGCGCAGAGCCGTTGTACGGCGGTGCGCCGTGTAACGGAACCAACATGGAGGTCGGCAACTGTAACACGCATGAATGTCCCAGTAAGTCTAGCAGAAAGATTTTAAATTGTGTATTGAATGTGCAATTGAAATACTCATTTTTCAACGTGACTAAGTTATAAGAAAAGGTGCAAAGAAAAATTTTGAACACACCTTTTAAATCAAAACGATGTTTATGCATATATTTGACGTGTTTTTTAAATGCTTGAAAATATACAATGTATAAATAGTATGTGTGTGCTTGCTATTATTCTATTTTTTATTTATATTTATTAGAATGTTATTGAGAAATGTGAAATAAATGAATCAATTAGCAATAGTGACTGTTGATTTATAAGTACATTTCATGAAGTATAGTTAACATTTTGATGTTGTAAAAGCTAATAATTTATGTAGTTGATGGAATCTGGGAGATGTGGTCTAACTGGACCGACTGTAGTCTCACGTGCAACAATGGAACGCAGACGCGTAACCGCACGTGTAACGGGCCTTTCCATGGTGGCGCTGATTGTGAGGGACCAGATGACGAGATGAGGCTTTGTAACTCCTTTCACTGTCCAGGTAAAGCGGATGCATTTTATACAAAGGTGTTGGAGGTGGACTATGTATTAAATAATTTTCTCTTAATTTCTCTATATAGAATGACCTAAAAGTAGTTATTGTTCACAATATGCTGACAACTATTTTCATACAATATCTCTTTTGATTAGTGTTTCTATTCACGTTTGTGTGCAAATTGTATATTAGCCCCAACTGGATAAATGACCATACATGAACAAGATTGTATAGATCTTAAAGTAAACAATTGATAAAACTATGATGATATATATGAATATAATTAACTCCACATCGACTTGTCATGATGACTTTGTCATCAATTAATGTGTTCTGACCTTTGACCTACTGATGCCTTCATGTATTTATTCCCACCACAGTGGACGGCGTGTGGGAGACGTGGTCAAATTGGACCAAATGTTCCCACTCCTGTGGGCGCGGCACCAAATACCGCTACAGGGAGTGTATCGGCCCCTTTCACAACGGATCGGAGTGCGAGGGGACAACAGACGAAACGATGTTCTGTAACCCCTCCAACTGTCCGGGTAAGGCTTCGTCGCAAATAGTACACCTGTCCACGTGCGTAACTCTGTACTCTCCTGGTCCTGTATCTTTGTAACATATCTCTCATGTCTACTATTTATCGTATCGCTTATATCTATACTGCAGGTTGCTTTTCAGTCATGGCTTGTCTATTGAAGCCGATATTTAATGTTCAAGATTTTCTTAAATATTAGTGTGAATACATAGATAATTATATCATTCGCTTTGTCATTATTTAAGTCTTCGATTGGTCAATGGAATTGTCTATTGAGTTTTCAGTAATTCTGAATTTTGGTACAAAATTTAAAATCATGAATGGCTTAAATATATTATTACGAGAGATTTATAAAATCTTCATATTTCTATTTAAGTTTTAGATTTTCCTAACGAGAAACACGTTTGTAAATAACGTTGAGAAGCTACAATTGTTATTCAATGCGACTTAGAATACAGGATGGATACAACTATTTATAATAAGCGAAGAAACGTTAACCCGAGTTTGACGCGTCGCTCTGTTGAGCATATGTAAATTTGTATCTAGTTATGTAAATAAATAATAGATTCGTTTACACCTTAGATGAAATGAAACGAGCTTACGTACATTCAACATGTTCCCTCTAGGATAGATCTACCATGACTGATTGTTGCAATTACTGTTTCCCTATGCCATGTTGATATCGACAACGTATACTACCATACACTCTGGCGTCTGTTTGCCTGGCAAGCCAGTTTAGCAGTGTGTATGCCCCCAAATTTACCAAGTTAATTACGTAAATTTAGGGAGAAGAACCATACAGGTACTACCCGGAATAGCGGTGATGTTCAACATGGTTCTATCTGAATATTGCATGCTATATTACTATAAATGTCACATACATTGTACAACATTGTAGTGCTTTTGTAGACTGCTATAAGTATCACTCCGCTTTATAAGATAACATGCCTAGCTGCTTACAAACTATATTCATATCCACGTCTTTGTAGACTTATATCCAGTACAATGTAGTTTAATTATACAATAATCATTTTGGAATTCTGGATTAAGAAAAAGATACTGTCACCATGTGATGGTATTCCTGTAAAGTTATATCGTCGTCATTTTTCAACATTCAATACATGAAAAATATTCCGGCTTTAAAGGGCTCTTCCAAAACGAGATGAATTCCAAAACGATTCATTGCTTCAAATTTTTAGTTGTTTTGCTTTAAATAATTGGCTTAACAGCAGCAAGGACTGTTTACTACCATTCAGCAAAATTTGGGCTCATATGTCTTATAGAAGATGCACCCACCAGAACTGTGTTAGTTGCCATTTTATAGCTGATGGGGTTTGGTTGCCTTGGGGCACGTGGTCAGAATGTGACGTCACATGTGGATTTGGAACAAAATATCGAGAGCGTCTATGTGACGGCCCTACAGATGGCGGGGAAAATTGTACTGGAGACTGGCAGGAGTCCGACAAGTGTTTCCCGACAAACTGTCCAGGTAGGTCGCAGAGCATAAAACATTTAATGTTGATTCTGAAGAAACATAGAATATGTATTGCTCACTGCAGAGCAACCCTTAAACACAACTTTATAACCATATTAGTATTAGGGACAAATTTATAACAACTGTTAAATAGAAACAAAATGTCCACAGCATCAACACATAGTGACAAAATCGGAGATGAATTGATACGAGTTGATAACAATGGGAACAGAAGAAACATCAAAAATTAAAATTATAATTCAGGACCATGTATTGAAAATTGTATTGAAATCACCTTTTAACTGCTATGTTTTAAAAGAAGAACACAATTTTCAGTTAAAAACATAAGTGATTTGCGTATATTTGCAATATATCAATATATTATCCAATATTGGAAAAGTTTGTTTAGATATCGTACTGACTATGTGTCATCCTCCTTGGTCACCATTATGGACACGTTTTTTCCTCAGTAACATAATTTATACTGTATGTCTCCCTCCACAGTGGATGGTATCTTCACTTCCTGGACAGGGTGGTCAGGTTGTCCAGTAAGCTGTGGTGGCGCTCAAATATCTAGGAACAGGACCTGCTTCGGTCCTTACTTCGGTGGTCTGAATTGCCAAGGCGTCGACGCAGAGATCAAAAATTGTAATATCTACCCATGTCCAGGTACATTTATATATGCAATGCATGTACACTAAAGAAAGATAGAAAGAAGCCATTGCTCTAATGCACTTAAAATGATCAAGCGGATGTATTAATTTGATTTAAAGCTTCAGTAGAAAATTATTGACGTCAATATGCTGATGATTTTATTTTAAAATTTTGAAAACTTTCCATAATCCTTGTGGCTTCTGTGTTCCAGTGGATGGGGATTGGAGTTTGTGGTCGATGTGGGACGTTTGTACCCAAACGTGTGGTAAAGGAACCAAATACCGCTACCGTATCTGTACCGTAGGGGCCCACGGTGGGTCAAACTGCACCGGTCCGTCAGAAGAGTATGCACCGTGTAGCGAACAAGTCTGTCCCAGTACGTGTGATTTCTTATATGTTATACATTTTTGAAGAAACTGACAAACATGTTATTTCTTAAGAAATATACATGTACATTTCCTCTGTTTATCTCGTTACATTTAGAAAGCAAAATCATGATTGAGATTTTACAGTTTTTATCAAATGTATGAATTAGTATAAGTAATATTTCTCGAGTAAACAAATGTTACATGTTTTAGTCTAGAAAAGACTGAAATGTACGTATATCATCACACATAATTTGAAAGTTTTCTCAATAAACACTTATATGATAATTGCAAGTCCTGCTATTGTTACTGAAGGTTGTAAAACATAATTTCTTATGTCTCATTTCAGAATATGCCAAGATATATAGATCAGTATGGTTTGTTCCCAGACAGGTGAAAGACGTTCATCTTGATAGTGTCCATTAGTTTGAACTGCATATCTAAGCTATTAAGTTGTAGATTGATTTTAATATAAAAAGCTTACCTTGTTTGTAGTTCCTCGTAGTTTGCTTCTGATGCTTTGTGACAAAGAATATACCCACGCGGTGCTTAGTCAATGTCCCCTAGTTCCACGAGATGTATATTATACCATCTTTGCGTATTGCAGAGTTATCTTCTCTTGAGAGCAGGGATTGATTGTTACGTCATTTGTTTGTGATAGTATCGTCATCAATTTTTGAGAAAACGACGTAATTTTCTCGCACAAACCAATGACGTAACAATCAATACCTGCCCTCAAGAGAAGATGACTCTGCAATACGCAAAGATGGAATACCAAGCTATCACTATACAAGTGTAAAAACACAGGTCACAACTCCACGACACACAACACGACCGACTGAACTTCTGTAAACCATGCCGTTAAACGACTTTATAGTGCATATTATGTTTATCAAAAACGAAAATTATGAAGCCTATTTTTTCGAAATTTTAACGACACGATACGGTTAGTTCAGTTCGGTTTTTGAAGTGTTCAGCGTAAAATATGGATCATCAGTTATGTCATGCTTTCATATAACTCTGGATTTTAGTTGATGGTCTCTTCAACGAATGGAACGAGTGGGGCGATTGCTCCGAAACCTGTGGAGACGGTCTACGACTGCGCGAGCGCACGTGTGATGGCCCATACAATGGCGGACTGAACTGTTCCGGAGAGTGGACCGACGTTGGGGATTGTAACTTACGACCATGTCCCGGTGCTGTACATCTCTGTGTTATATCAATAATAACAATAATCTAGAACAAAAGTTATATTATTTATAATGCAAATTATCTTTTTTTCTTCGTATTTTTATAAGATAGCATTGTATCTACAGGATATGTTTTCTTCATTTTTATTAGCTGGAATTATATCAATACAAAAACTGAAATACCTGCTGTCTTTTTCTCGTTCACTTTCCTATATTATAAAATTAGGCATTTGTATTTCAACAATAAAATATCAATTCGTCCTAAATTACCTGTCTCGGTTTTTGCAATAACATACTGACGAGAGTATTAATATTTTTGTTGAGTCTAAGCTAGCAGTATTTTCATATCAATTATACCGAATTTTAAACTCTTTTGTATAAGCATTATAGTGCTTTTAGTCTTCTTATGCAATTCAATCTTAGTACCGTTTTCTCGACTCTTTTTCTCTCTATTTCAATGTATGACTTCCGTGGTCGTGTACTCTACACAACTACTAAAACATACTTCTGCAGTGTTGTATCTTCTCTATTTATACCTTTTAATAGAGTAGACTTTTTTTTACTTTTTTTAACTTTTCTGTATATTTTAATATATGCTTTTGCAATTTGAAGTTCGCTGCTGATTTGCTATAATTTTACCTGTAATGATATATTTGAAAAGAAATATATAAAATAAACTTGATAGCAAAATAAGAAACTCCAACAAGTGGCCAAGGATATCTTAAACTAAGTACAGACGTGCATTTGTTGGTTTTTACAACTATTTTTCCATTTTAGTTGACGGTAATTTCACGGAATGGATGGATTGGTCGGAGTGCAGCCGCACATGCGGAGGTGGGAATCGAACCCGAGAACGTGATTGTGAGGGAACTATGTACGGCGGTAAGCCTTGTGAAGGAGAGTACAACCAGACGGAAGGATGTAACCCGCACGAATGTCCAAGTAAGTAATACACTGACTCAAATTGCATTGCGGTCATGTGAATTGATTTGAATTTCAATAACAAATTAAAACATATCTAGGAATCTGCTATCCCTCCTTTGATTGATTGAAACAGAGGAAAAAAACATCGGTTGAAATAAATTAACAATAATAAAAAAAAACATAATTTGCTTGCAGCTCATGAGAGTAATAAATCAATGTCTTTGAAGGTCAAACAACTATTGTTATGTAAATTATTCGTTACAGTCGACGGAGTGTGGGAGTTGTGGGGCACGTGGGGCCAGTGCAGCGTCACGTGCGCCAATGGAACACAATGGCGAGACAGAGAGTGTGTCGGCCCCTTCTACGGTGGTGCCAACTGTACGGGGCCTACTAACGACAGTCAGGACTGCTACCCCCGACCATGTCCAGGTAAGGAAGACTTTGTCGTGATATCAGTAGTTGTTGTCATTTGTTAGGATCTTTTAACAAGTATTGCCGTGTATTTACAGATACGTGTTTAGATTAAACATATTTTATTGTCATAAATGTGAAAAAATAAGGATTTGCCAGAAGTTTTTTCCAAACTTGATAACATCCATTTCTTAATTACTACATCATTTACATTTCTTCATACATAATGAACGGTAGTGAAAAACTGTTTAAGTAAGAAAACAGGAAGTGAAAAGGGGGAAATCGAATAAGAGTAAAATACATAGGTTACGTCGAGACATAGATATTTGATAATGAACAAACAGATAAAGAATCATCACTTAGAATTGTTTTCTTCAAAGTTGTCCGTAGCATTCATATAATATCTTATGTAGATATACCATGTTTATTTATAACGATTGTCCCGGTAGCTTTTGTCATATGGAAGAAATACGAAATTGAATTACGGAACGATAACAATTCAATAATTAGATTGTTTTATATAAATGCAGAGCATACACATACAGCTGATTGTTTTCTGTCTTTTTCTATTATTATTATTATAGATGCTCAAATAGAACGTAAAAAATAATGACAAAATAATCGGAATTGGGTGAAACATTAAGTCAAGAAAGCATTCGTATGAATAACTTTCTACAATCTAATCTACTTTTGGATAACTTATATATGGAATCTATTTAAATTCACATAAATCAATTTCTTTTGGATAACTGATCAAGTCAGTTCAAATCTTATAAACGTGTATTAATTACGTTTTCAGTGGCCGGTGTGTGGGAGACTTGGGGAAGCTGGGGTATGTGCAATGTCACGTGTGGAGGCGGAGAACAAATGCGGTCACGTGATTGTCACGGACCGTTCTATGGTGGTGATGATTGTCAAGGCAGCAATGACGACTTCCAAGTCTGCAACACACAAGAGTGTCCAAGTATGTAAATGAAATTCCATTATTAACGTGACTATTGTCAATGGTGAAATAGTGACGAGCGTTTTTATGCATCAATTTATCGAGCATCTACAGCAAAATAGACAAAGCATTTCTAGCCGCCCATCGTGATGTGATTTATTAAGGTAGGATGGTTACTCGTCCGTAGGTTTGGCCATAAAGCTGCACTATCTGTGATATCAGGTATATTGAGATCTTGACCGGTTTCGAGTACTTGCCGTTTGTGTACTCGAACATTAGAAATTATCCAGTTAACTAGTTCCTCAATTTCCATACTATTGCTTTGAAACTTGGTTGGTTTTCATCCATTAATCATTGTTGTGCATGTGTATCCGACGTATTGATATATAAATCAATCTACAGAGTGGTCTCCCTTTTGTTACTTGTCGAAGTTCAGCAGACTTTTTAGTTCCTTAGATTTCTTTTAAAATAAGCTCGGTTTACTAACATCAATTACCATACTTTCGACAAAGTTCGCTGAACTGTGCAGCATGTAACTGTGCGGTACTATGGTTACAATCACGTCCAGACTTAAGTGTAACTGTGCGGTACTATGGTTACAATCACGTCCAGACTCCAGTGTAACCGGTATACGAAGCAAGATGAATAAATATTATCAAAACTATGTGATAGTTCCAAACATCTACTACTTTTTGTTTGATAGTTCTCGTGGATTATATTTATAAAGTTTGGCCCTTGTTGTACAAGGTATGTACCCCTACGTATGTTATGTGTTATATAGTCGACTGTATCTGGCTGGACTGGTCGAACTGGGACGACTGCAGTGTGACCTGTGGTGGGGGCAATCACTCTCGGTACCGAGACGAATATGGTCCGTTCTATGGTGGACCTAACTGTACAGGCCCGGACCAGGAGACCAAAGACTGCAACACACATTTCTGTCCAGGTACGGAATAATTTAGTTTAATTCATTATTTCCATGCGTATTTTTTTGATGCAGTCGGTTGCTTTGACATCAATCAAGAAATGAAAAAAATCATTTCAAAAATAACATGTGCGTATGTACTTTTGTTTAAGACTGATGTTACGCGAAGCTTTTCTAATACATGTGATCTACTGTAGGAGCAAACGTGTGTATGACCAAGCAAGCGCTGTTTAATAAATCTTCATCTTTACAGGTTACGAGTTCAGAGGAATGATAACCCTTGCAGGAAGGGGGTAATGATTTGTCTTCCCATAGATGTGCTCATTTTATTTTGTTAGAGAAAGAAACGTTTTTTTCATAAGTTTGAATCCCCTTTTTTCATCTATGTTTTCTAACAGTGAGTTTGTTATATACATAAATCAAGTATGTTACCCACCTTTTTATGCTATTACAGTGGACGGGGTGTTCACGTCCTGGACCGATTGGTACCACTGTAACGTGACTTGTGGGGGAGGCATCCAGTGGCGCAACCGCACGTGCGACGGACCTTACTACGGCGGGGCCGACTGTCCGAGCGACTATGAGGATTCAAGAGAGTGTAACATGCACGAGTGTCCAAGTATGTGTTCTACTCAAATAAACGAATAACAGAACCTGGTATATTCGGAGTTTTACAATATTTTTTGAATTTATATATAAAATATACTCAAGTATGTTTTATCATTAAAGACTCGTTAAAGAGTTCTATGTTATAAACAAGTGCCAAAAATATATCAACATAAAGATGTAACATATTGCAATATACATCTGATACAATTTGAATCTTGTTACAGTCGATGGCGTCTTCACCGATTGGTCAGATTGGTTCTCATGTAACGTCACGTGCGGAGGCGGAGAACAGTGGCGTAACAGGTCATGTGATGGACCGTATTACGATGGAGCGGATTGTGAAGGCGACAACGAGGACAACAGGGAGTGCAATACACATGAATGTCCGAGTAAGTCTCATTCCTAGTATCTGTATGTTTGTCGCATCCCATTCTTTCCAATGTCTACATACATCTGTAGGAATAAGCAAATTCTGCCAAGTAATATTGGGAGTGAACATTTAACATTGTTGCTTTTTTCCGAGACAACGATTTTAAGATTTTCGCTGCTTAGGAAATCCAAAAAGTCAACAAAACAGTAAAATTTCGAATTTCAAAAGCACCGGATGACACTGAAAAAAAATCAAATTAAAAAATTCAACAATGCATGAAATTACATTTGTCTTACATAAACGCAAAATTGTATTTATATGAATAACATATATAGCTATTGAATGGTATAATTAATAACAAATGTTTACCTTCAGTTGATGGCATTTTCATGTCGTGGATGGAATGGGGACAGTGCAACGTGACGTGCGGCGGGGGTGGACAGTACCGTCACAGAGAGTGTGACGGTCCCTACTACGGCGGTGCTAACTGTTCCGAATCCTGGGTAGACTACCAGGACTGTAACACACACAACTGCCCTGGTCAGAACCGACGGATTCCACACTTGTTTTTCTATTTCTCTTTCAGACATCTATGCCTCCTCAAAGCTTTGGACTCTTGGGGATTGGGATTTGCACCTCTATGGTTTCATGTTGCACAATTCTTCCCTATACTATTGCTCGTATCTCCTTTTATCATACTTATATCACTGTGTGTTTGTTCACACTCCTCATGCGCTACACGATCATATTCACGACTAACATCCATAATATGCCTCATCCATCGTATTTCTCCTTCTATAGTGACCGCTGGGACTACTAGTACCACTGGTAGTTAGAAGTGGTACTGGTGGTCACCGTTGGTAGTTGTTGATTATCTGTGAATCAATATGTAAGGTTGTCATTAGCATCATTGTATCCTATTAATAATAATGAATAATATTGACTATAAATTTGATTAAAGTATAGCTCTTTATCATAAGTTAAATGCTGTACATTATATATATGTAAATAATTTTTATGATAAATATTATGATTATTTTCACACCAAAGAAATAATGTTTGTGAAATGAAATAGAGATAAATATCTGTCTTTAATACAGATTAACAGCATTGAAAAAAACACAACGTCATGTGTCGGTAAAAGTTTATAAATCACATTGCGATTTTTTTTGTTTATAAATGCATTAAATGTACAATAAAGTGTTCTCATTAACGAATTATTGAAATAGTTTTAAATGCAAATGTAAACGTGATGAATGCTTTGATTTATCTTTGTAAGTTTAAATATTTTACAACACTATTTGATATTTTGACAATTGATTACATTTATTTGAACAGAAATTAATTATTACAATCAATTTGACTTGAAAATATTTCTTATATGATATTATATACATATTTAAATAATGATTAAAATATACAAACTGTTCTATTGTTTATCAAAGCATATTATATGAGCAGCGTTCTATAAGTGATATACATTACAGTCGACGGTTTCTTTCTGGAATGGACTGCTTGGGGATCCTGTGATGTCACGTGTGACGGAGGGTTCCAGTTACGTACACGAGAGTGTAACGACCCGCTGTATGGCGGGGCTTCTTGTGTTGGTGACTACAACCAGACACAAGACTGCAACACACACAACTGTCCCAGTAAGTACCACACAGAAGACTCTAATACACACAAAACTGTCCCAGTAAGTATCACACAAAATACTCTAATATACACACAACTGTCCCAGTAAGTACCATGCAAAAGACTCTAATACACACAACTGTCCCAGTAAATACCACACAAAATACTCTAATCCATAAAACTGTCCCAGTAAGTACCACACAGAGGACTTTAATACACACAACTGTCCCAGTTTGTACCACAAAAAATACTCTAATATACACAGCTGTCCCAGTAGGTACCACACAGAAGACTCTAATACACACGACTGTACCAGTAAGCACCACACAAAAAACTTATACACACAACTGGCCGAGGAATTAGTACCACACAAAAGACTATAATACACACAACTGTCCCAGTTTGTAACACAAAAAATACTCTAATATACACAGCTGTCCCAGTAGGTACCACACAGAAGACTCTAATACACACAACTGTCCCAGTAGGTACTACACAGAAGACTCTAATACACACAACTGTACCAGTAAGCACCACACAAAAAACTTATACACACAACTGTCCGAGTAATTAGTACCACACAAAAGACTATAATACACACAACTGTCCCAGTAAGTACCACGCAAAATACTCTAATCCACACATCTATCCCAGTAAGTACCACACAGAATACTCTAATGCACACAACTGTCGCAGTAAGTACCACACAGAAGACTCTAATACACACAACTGTCCCAGCGGGTACTACACAGAAGACTCTTATACACACGACTGTCCCAGTAAGCACCACACAAAAGACTTATACACACAACTGTCCCAGTAATTAGTACCACCCAAAAGCCTATAATACACACAACTGTCCCAGTAAGTATACACACAACTGTCCGAGTAATTAGTAACACACAAAAGACTATAATACACACAACTGTCCCAGTCAGTACCACACAAAATACTCTAATCCACACATCTATCCCAGTAAGTACCGCACAGAATACTCTAATGCACACAACTGTCGCAGTAAGTACCACACAGAAGACTCTAATACACACAACTGACCCAGTGGGTACTACACAGAAGACTCTTATACACACAACTGTCCCAGTAAGTACCACACAGAAGACTCTAATACACACAACTGTCCCAGTGGGTACTACACAGAAGACTCTTATACACACAACTGTCCCAGTAAGCACCACACAAAAGACTTATACACACAACTGTCCCAGTAATTAGTACCACACAAAAGACTATAATACACACAACTGTCCCAGTTAGTACCATACAAAAGACTCTAATACACACAACTGTCCCAGCGGGTACTACACAGAAGACTCTTATACACGCAACTGTCCCAGTAAGCACCACACAAAAGACTCTTATACACACAACTGTCCCAGTAAGCACCACACAAAAGACGTATACACACAACTGTCCCAGTAACTAGTACCACACAAAAGACTATAATACACACAACTGTCCCAGTTAGTACCATACAAAAGACTCTAATACACACAACTGTCCCAGTTTGTACCACAAAAAATACTCTAGTATACACAACTGTCCCAGTAGGTACCACACAGAAGACCCTAATACACACAACTGTCCCAGTGGGTACTACACAGAAGACTTTTATACACACAACTGTCCCAGTAAGCACCTCACAAAAGACTTATACACACAACTGTCCCAGTAATTAGTACCTCACAAAAGACTATAATACACACAACTGTCCCAGTTAGTACCACACAGAAGACTCTTATACACGCAACTGTCCCAGTAAGCACCACACAAAAGACGTATACACACAACTGTCCCAGTACCACACAAAATACTCTAATACACACAACTGTCCCAGTAAGTACCACACAGAAGACTCTAATACACACAACTGTCCCAGTGGGTACCACACAGAAGACTCTTATACACACAACTGTCCCAGTAAGCACCACACAAAAGACGTATACACACAACTGTCCCAGTAATTAGTACCACACAAAAGACTATAATACACACAACTGTCCCAGTAAGTACCACTAATATACACACAACTGTCCCAGTAAGTACCATGCAAAAGACTCTAATACACACAACTGTCCCAGTGGGTACCACACAGAAGACTCTAATACACACAACTGTCCCAGTTTGTACCACAAAAAATACTCTAGTATACACAACTGTCCCAGTAGGTACCACACAGAAGACTCTTATACACACAACTGTCCCGGTGAGTATCATACAAAAGACTCTAAAACACACAACTATCCCAGTAAGTACCACACAGAAGACTCTTATACACACAACTGTCCCAGTGAGTATCATACAAAAGACTCTAAAACACACAACTATCCCAGTAAGTACCACACAGAAGACTCTAATACACACAACTGTCCCAGTAAGTACCACACAGAAGACTCTTATACACGCAACTGTCCCAGTAAATACCACACAAAATACTCTAATCCACAAAACTGTCCCAGTAAGTACCACACAAAAGACTTTAATACACACAACTGTCCCAGTAAGTACCACACAAAAGACTCTAATACACACAACTGTCCCAGTTAGTACCACACAGAAGACTCTTATACACACAACTGTCCCACTAAGTACCACACAAAAGACTCTTAATCACACAACTGTCCCAGCAAGTACCACACAGAAGACTCTAATACACACAACTGTCCCAGTTAGTACCACACAGAAGACTCTTATACACACAACTGTCCCAGTAAGTACCACACAGAAGACTCTAATACACACAACTCTCTTAGTAAGTACCTGCCACAGGTCTAACACATACATCTATCCGTGTAAGTAACAGACAGACTGTAACATACACAACTGTTCCAATAACTACCAGACACAAAACGGCACTGTACGTACTGACACAAAACTAACACACACAACTGATCTATTCAGTACCAGAAATACGACTTTCCTCATAAGAAATATACAAAATCAAGTTAATTCATGCCGTATGATAAATAGTCGTCATTATCATGGCTACGCCGTAACTAATTTGAATGTGAACGATTAAACTTGATATAAAAAAGCTATAAAAGGAACAAAATAAATAGATGAAATAATTTAAGATTATTTTTAGCCAGACACAGTAGTTGGAGGAATATAAGGTAATAATAGTCTCTTTGTATAGTTTATCTCTATCTACCTGTTGCAAAACAGCATATTTCAAATTCAGTGGTTTACGTTGGTTATATTGAATTGATTTATTGATATTTCAGTTAACATTACTGCCAAAGGTTCTTGTGATTGTTATCAATGTGTATTTTGTCAATTAACGTCATGTAGAAATATAAGCCTGATCTATCTCAAAGTAGTTATATTCTGTGAATTATAACCATCTGATGTCCTGATAATCGTTTGTACACGTATAAGTTCAGTTATGTCATACCTATTAGGTGTAACGCTGTCACAGCTGAATATGCATCATGGTTTCTTTGATCAGACAAATTGTCAATAAATACTAAAATATCACATCAAATTAAGTTTATTAATAAAGTTATTAAATAACATCCTACTTATCAGAGTTAATATACTGATATTAAAGAATCCTCAATATAATTACAGGCGACGGTGTATGGAAAAGCTGGAGTACCTGGGACGAATGTAGCGTCACCTGTGGGGGAGGACTGCAGACCCGGAACCGGACATGTGACGGCCCATACTACGGTGGCGCACAATGTCCGGGAGTTGATAATGAGGACCAAATATGTTCCACAAACTTGTGTCCAAGTAAGATTTCACGGAAAAAAACAAATTCATATGAGTGCTGATACAAATGCGATATAGTTTGCAAAGATAATTTAATATTATTATAAATTATTGCAATCAATAAAAAAAATCAATTTAATTAAGTACATTTTACTTCGTTTTCTTTGATTTTGCAATTTGACATATACTTTTATAATAATTTCTGAAGATGTACCCTTTACTGCTGACTATTTTTTATGTAAATCATGAAGTTGTTCATAGAGTGTTCATTGATCATTGCGATTTTGTTATTTCAGACATTGTTCATTACCGTCCTTGTGCGGTGACATGTCATTATTTTGTTGTCCCATATATATATATCAAGTTTGTAGCCTTATTAGATTCCTACTGTAACGTAAATCCTTCGTGCACCCTCGTATATAGCGTCTAATCTAAACTTTCCCTCTCGCTCTTATGGTCATTACTTCTATGTTTCACGCTTTGCTATGCACATCAATTTGGCTTGGACCTTAATCGTACTGTTCATATATTACATGCAAATATGACAGTAAGTGGCGCTACATGTAAATATGGCAGTAGGTGGCGCTACATGTAAATATGGCAGTAGTTGGCGATTTGGCAAGCTCACTGTCAGATTGTCTACATTGATAACATCTAAATGGTATGAACTATGAGGATAAGAAAGGCACACTGGAACTCGTGTTCCTCATTGCATTTGTGTTTGATGTATGAAGTATTAGCACATCAACGTCAGATGCAAATATCGTGATATCCACTCATCACGATGAACTCTGCGGCTTTGATAATCACGATGTGTCCCTATTTACTTTGTACTTGATGCATTTCTTTGTTTTCTGACTTAATTCAAAAAGCCATGCATAAATCAAGGCAGCACTGTATGGCGCTTATTTTCAGCGGAGGTTTTATACTTTCTTGGCATAAAAATACGCGCAAATTAAACACAGCGCAACTGTTGCTATTTTATGAATTCGGTATTTACAATGTAGTATCTATTTAAAACAATCAATCTAAACTGCGCAAATATGTTTCAGCACAAAATCTCTTAAATAAGCCCTATACACTATGGATAAATTGTTTATTTTTGAAAGATAGAATAACAAAACTGTGATAAAAAAATTGACAGTTTATTTATTTGTAAATCAAACATTGAGAAACGGTCGTCCAATGTCGCTTTTATAAATACGCGCAAAATGTCAATCACAAATGCGTCAAAAAACTACGAAAATCTAACGGTAGCAGGGTATTTATGTAAGGACAATCGTGATTAATTATTAAATCAAACATGGAACATATCAGACGATGTTCTCAATATCGTAACTAACATTTTGTGAGACTTTTAAATTTTTGGAAAAATTAAGATTAAAGAAATCTGATGTCTGAACGACTTGTTATTGTAGCCCATTGTTTCATAGATTGTTTCTTGTTGTTAGAGCGATGATATTTTTTTCAATAAAAAATGAGCAAATAAAAAAAAATCAATGATATGTTTACTCTTTAGTTTCTTAATGTGGAAGGAAAGATAAAAGTAACAAATAACGTATGATCTTCTTCACAGAATAATATCCGTTACGTTCTGTTCCGTTCTGAATTGTATAATTATCATTGCAGTTCCAGGAGAATGGCTCGAATGGTCCTATTGGAGCATGTGCTCCACCACGTGTGATGGGGGTGTGAGGGAAAGATCTCGTTTGTGTAACGAGACTTCATACGGAAATCTAACAGCCCCTTGTCTCAACAGTAATCATTCATCGGAAGCCTGCCACACATATCCGTGCCGTCCATTCGGTTGGTCAAATTTATTTGCTTTCGATCATGAAATTCTGTCAAAAAATATTATCAAAGTGCGATCTTTAGCTAATTTTGGTTATCAGTTTAATCTAAAGTGATTATTAAACATTGTATATATATCATTCAATAAGTCATCTATTATCACGGAAAGTACAGGGTTTATTTCACTTTACACCGGTAGGTGTGTGTTATATAGAACACCGTTTATGAGTCAACCTCGTTTTGCATCTTCTTGTTGGTGTTTAACATCTTGCAATGCCAAGTTGCTGTAACCTTTTCTTTACAAAATAGTTTGGACATTCTGCAAAGAACGAAGGTGGATAGATTAAGAGGTTCCAGTGTATTATTAATTCAGTACAATGTTATAATCTCTTTTTTGTTTAATATGTAACGACTTCCTTTTGTCCAATCCAGCGCGACATTGTAGTGACCTTGCCGTCCTTGGCCTAGTCGACTCCACCTATGTTGAAATACGTCTGTCAGACACTGAAGTTGGAGAGGAAGAGAAGGGCTACAAAGTGTTCTGTGACATGGAACTAGAAAACGGTGTCGGGGTCACTGTCATAGGTAAAGTATTGATGTGACATCACTTACATTCAACCAGAAACCTTGTCGGGGTCACTATCGTAGGTAGGTACTGGTGTGACGTCGTGTACATGGAACTAACAACGGTGTTGGGGTCTCTTTATAGGTAAAGTATTGGTGTGAAATCACGTACATTGAACCAGAAACCTTGCCGGGGTCACTATCGTAGGTAGGTACTGGTGTGACGTCGTGTGCATGGAACTAGAAAACGTTGTCGGGGTCACTGTCATAGGTAAAGTATTGGTGTGACATCACGTACATTGAACCAGAAACCTTGTCGGGGTCACTGTCGTAGATAGGTACTGATGTGACGTCGTGTACATGGAACCAGAAACCTTGTCGGGGGCACTATCGTAGGTAGGTACTGATGTGACGTCGTGTACATGGAACTAGAAACCTTGTCGGGGTCACTATCGTAGGTAGGGACTGATGTGACGTCGTGTACATGGAACCAGAAACCTTGTCGGGGTCAGTATCGTTGGTAGGTACTGATGTGACGTCGTGTACATGGAACTAGAAAACGGTGTCGGGGTCACTGTCGTAGGTAAAGTATTGGTGTGAAATCACGTACATTGAACCAGAAACCTTGTCGGGGTCACTATCGTAGATAGGTACTGGTGTGACGTCGTGTGCATGGAAATAGAAAACGGTGTCGGGGTCACTGTCATAGGTAAAGTATTGATGTGACATCACGTCCATTGAACCAGAAACCTTGTCGGGGTCACTGTCGTAGATAGGTACTGATGTGACGTCGTGTACATGGAACTAGAAAACGGTGTCGGGGTCACTGTCATAGGTAAAGTATTGATGTGACATCACGTACATTGAACTAGAAACCTTGTCAGGGTCACTGTCGTAGGTAGGTGCTTGTCTGACGTCGTGTACATGAAACTAAAAACGGTGTTGGGGTCACTGTCATAGGTAGGTACTGATGTGACGTCGTGTACATGGAACTAAAAACGGTGTCGGGGTCTCTTTATAGGTAAAGTATTGGTGTGACATCAGGTACATTGAACCAGAAACCTTGTCGGGGTCACTATCGTAGGTAGGTACTGGTGTGACGTCGTGTACATGGAACTAACAACGATGTCGGGGTCACTGTCATAGGTAAAGTATTGGTGTGAAATCACGTACATTGCACCAGAAACCTTGTCGGGGTCACTGTCGTAGGTAGGTACTGGTGTGACGTCGTGTACATGGAACTAAAAACGGTGTCGGGGTCACTTTCATACATAAGGTTCTGTTGTGATATCGTGTAAATGGACCAAGAAAACGTGCCGGGACACTATCATAGGTAGTTGTTAAGTATTGATATGATATCGTGTAAATCTCATCTTTATGCTTAATCAAGGGGATTTTATATTCGTAGCATTTCCCCTATATTTGTTCGGTGTAGGATAATTGACTTTTAAAAGATTGGTATATATATGTTAGGCTGCGTATTTGAAGGCAATGTAAGGACAAAATAACCTATGTTTTCTTTTGAACTTGTTCATTGAAAACTTGCTTCATATAGGATCAGCAAAGTAAGTATGTAAAATGCAGAAATATGGAATATCGCCAAACACATTTTACATTTGACTTAAAACGAGAATTGTTTTTCTAAAGAGTATCTTTTATGATGTTTCATATAGGACAACCTAATTAGATGCAGGTGTATTTAAATTTATGTACAGTTTCGCTTATTTATTCTTCTCTAGATCATAGCGAGATGGGTGTGCACTATGTGAGCGGCTATGAGGGCGCCGGGTCGTACAGGATCATTCCCCAGTACGGAGAGGATATGCCGTTTGCGGAGGCGGCCCTGTTGGTTGATGCGTCAGCTAATTGTTCCCAGTACGTGGAGTGGGAGTGTAAAGGTGCCGTCATCCACAACCCATACAGCTCCGATAGTTATACCACCTATTTTGTCAACAGGACCAGCCGCAGCCGCGGGTCCCACGAACCCAGCTCCGCCGCAAACTACTTCCCAGGAGGAGAGGTCGGAAGCAATGCTTGCGCGTGCGGCATGGACCATAGCTGCGCCGGAGGTCCAGATGCTTTGTGTAACTGCGATATCAACGATAACGTCATCAGAAAGGATTTTGGTAACATAACATACAAGCCCGATCTCCCCCTTCGGGCATTCTGTGCTGGTGACACAGGTAAGAGGCTAAATTCGTGATAATGTATAATGTATCAATCTTCTTTTATCTCCGATAACGATCCCACTCCGACGCGTGCTTGTTTTTATCATGGCTTGCTATGTCTTCGGAACACTAATGTATGTTTAATGAAAAGCATCAGCATCAACTATTTCAGAGAGATTCGATGTGTCTTGTTGTCAGGTGGCGTTATTTGCGTAAAGCGAAGCTAAGACGTCATACAATAGTAGGAAATGACATGTGTCTTGAAATCGACCATACTTAAAATTGAAATTGCTTTCAGATATTTCATTTGCCTTCTCTTTATCATTGCATATATCAGAGCATATCACATGGATATATTCAAACATATATAAGATGACTACTCCTTGTAAACATCTATACAATATCTCCTCTTGGCGTGTGCTGATGCAGCTTCCGGTATGTGGATATACATACGACTACCTACATGGACTAAGTTGTGCTCATGAAGTTTTAATGTTTCTTTCATTCACTTGCATATAATAACAGTAAACAAATAGAAAACACGTAAGCATCTCCATATACGTTTGATATTAAGAAAGAGGTCCATGTGAAATATCTTATTAATTTGATGACGTCTGTATATCACATTTTACCCTTACTAAATAATTATTGGGCCACTCTAGTGTTAAAGTGAAAGACAATATAATTTTGAATTGAGAACAGGAACGATTTTTCGAAGTAATATAAGAAGAATCCGTTTTTTGCACATTTTATTGTTTGATTTTAACATTATATAATAAATGCTCTTCATTGCAGGATATTAATACAAAACATTGTTTTCCATGTAGATTGCATGTATTTGATTAAAATGTGATACTTTAATTAACATTTTGAAAAGGAATGTTACAATGATAAAACTTCAATTCAACATGATTGTAATGTCAGATCCATTTGCTGCAATTACTTTTACTTTTGCGGTCGCTATACCATTGCGATCCATCTACAACCATGTCGTCTCTTTCCTTACTGTGATCTTGTGTTCCCTCTCCAAGGTAATGTTGCGGAGGCTGCAAATCTCACCATCGGACCACTCATCTGTTTTGGCCTTGCTTGAAAAGAAGGAAATTAGGCCGGGATATTCTAAAACAGAAAGCGAATCCGGATATTTAGATGTCGTATATTTTGAAAACGACAAAATGTCGCGTGACTTTCAAGCGGGCCAATCACTATATTGCTTACATACATCATCAGCACAGGTATCACGTACAACAGAAGTCACGACAACCATTAACACTTCTGGAATATAGTGATTGGTCCATTTGAATCTCACGAGACTTTTATCACGTGTGTTGATGTGTTTGGATTTGAATTTGAAATTTCTATGTTGCGGCATGTTTTGTCGGTATTTTTGTAGAAATCCTGTAGAATATTGCTGTGTGTTATTTCTGTGCAAAGGAGTTTGTCACCATACCTCCATGTTGCATCCTCTTCCCTTGTCGCTATTGACCTTTTTCCTTCTCTTCCTTTTGCTTATCTCCTTTACCTCCTTCACTTCCCTCAAGTCTACTCTTTATCACAAATGTGACTTACTTAGAATCTTATATCACTGTAACTAGTTTCCATCTTTCATTCAACTGCTTACGGTTCTATATTCTAGTCCTGTATCCTCCCACCAACCTTCTTACCTACCATCCTACCTATACTTACCTACCTACCTACCTACCTATACCTACCTACCTACCATCCTACCTATACCTTCCTATCTACCTATCTACCTATACCTAACTATCTGTCTATACCGTCCATTCCACCTACCTACGTTTCCTTTCTACCAACCATCCTACCTTCCTACTAACCACTCTACCTTCCTATATACCTACCTACCTACCTATCCTTCCTTAAATAACCACTAATATGTTTTCATTCTTTCTTTCATTTTCCATCTTCATACTGACAACCTATCAAGGAATTTTACCTCCTGAGATGTGTAGCTGCTGTTTACTTTTCACTACAAACCGCTTTGAAATGCGCTGAACCCACTAATTAGACACTATTTACACAGATACCGTAGATGTCTTCATAAACATTCTGCTCCAATATCAATTATTTTTACGCGAGAATCTGTTGTCATCTGTTGTACTAGCATAGTGATTAGGTGAGGTGTGGTGTAGTTATAATTCACGCGAGTCTATCTTAATTATTTGTATATTAAATGACAACGATCATATCAGTTCGGCAAAACTTACCATAGCGCACACACATATGTTTTCTTAACTAATTGGGACGTTCGTATCAAATGTTTACACACATAATAATGTGTGATGACTGAGATAAGAATGTTTAACTCTTCATAGAATAGGTGCTTCACAATTTGATCAGGTTCTTATCATCCGCAATAAGATAATACTCGTCATTAACAATTACTATGTTCATCCTTTTCTAATAATATGTCTTTCAAATCGTGTTTTGCTAAACGATTAACTCGAAACATTTTTTAATGAATCGATTGCGTATTACTTTTATACAAAATCTATATTTTTCATTCCTTCATTCCGCTTAGCTCTTCTTGGAAATATTTAGGTGCTTCCTTTTCGAATTATTCTTTCTTTTCATACAAACATATTGTGTTTAATATTTTGAGCATTAATGCATTGTTCAGTGGACAAATCAATACTGTCAATTTTAATTTCAATCAGATGAACGGGTTTCAATACAATTCATAAAAAACAAATCTATTTTTGGCAGTCGCGAACTTGATCAACATATAATGTGTGTAACACACAAAAATATCGGCGTACAACAATTCATTGTAAGCTTCAGCGCTATTACAACACTATTACAACGCTAATTGCAATATACGTAACATGCTGAGCGTATTATAGAACTTTTAATCATTTGCGTAGGAACCATAAAAATATGCTAAGGACCATAGACAAACCAAACCATTACTGCTGCATTTTATAACGTTGTTACCTTAACCAGGAGGCGCTGCTTGGCGTAAGGGTTGCCATTGTTTACAGTTCAATAATGAATTCTTTTGCGTAACTCTACCATCATTGTCAAGTCTAACATAAATATTGCCTTTGTCGTAAACAGGAGACGAGCGAAATGAACATGGAAACGCGACGGTAGGGCCTTTGATATGTTTTGGAATATCTTAATGAGATGGAAAGAGTGAAAATTACTCTCTCTCTCAATCATATTGGACATCATCCCATCACCGGACCACCAAACCATGATTGCATGTTGTTACACAAGAAGTGACGAGTTGTAAAAAGTGCTGGTTATATTCAAAACCTCATAAAGTCTAAACTTTCTATTCTTCTAAATGGAGAAGGAAAACAAAGCAAAAATTCTATGTTTTCTAATGTAATATTTATTTATAACATTAAAGAATATTTTGAAATATGACAAATGCAGTAAAATTTCCTGCTCCTAATAGTTTGAAACTTTAAAAAAATCTCCACAAACTACTATTTTAAATCGAGCCGAAAAAAGGAAAACTCAATGTTTTCGTATGTTATATCTGTTTTCGGCATTAAAAGATATTTTTCACTTTTAACAAGTCAGTCCATTTCCCTTCTCCTTTTGACCTTGCATGCTTGCTTGTGATGTGATCACTGCCCGTGACGATACAAACTCTGATGCATGTCGGCTGGACTTTACTGCTCTTGTATATATTCTTTAGAAGTCTCCTTCGGCTCTTTGCAACTGTTAATGTGTGTGTCCTTTTTCTTCTATTTCCTGTGATAATCTAGGCAAAGAGGACGAACAAGGAAACGCTACAATTGGCCCTCTCGTCTGTTGGGGAGATGTGTAAGACAACGGTGTAAGAAATCAACCACGAATTATCTCCCTTACCTCTCCTCCCTACCTTATATCAATTTTTCTTAAATGAAATGAAATTTTACGCTTTCAGGCTTGTAAGGAGTGTTGCTTTAGTTATGTGTTTTGTGGTTGTTTGTCGCCGACACAATTCTGGCTGCTTCAAAACATTTTTGTGAAATACTCACCAATAAACACATGCATTTCCTTCCAGACACCACCGTTAAATTGCACCGACTGTGAAAAGTATTCATTTTGGTTATTTGGTTAAAATGATGTCGTCTATCCCTAAAGAATATTCGATTAATGTGATGGAAAGGGAGTTATTTCAGGTGTATCAATTGAAGTTTTACCACAATTAAAGCGTGCTTCTACAATGCTTTTTACACATAGAGAATCAAATTATCTCAAAATGAATTACATAATTAAGGATCCAGGAATAGTAACAGTCGTGCGGTAAATGGAACTCTAACGAGATTCCCTCTAACTTTGTTCATCTTTGAAGTTTTGGGCTTTCTTCACTGGTTGTAATACACATTCAATTTGTCTACAGCGGGCTAGCGTTTAGTCTAGAGACATATGACGTGAGATTAAGTGGCCAGCCTCTCCAAGGATCTAGCCTTCATATCAAAATACGCGGTTGAGTATGTCATGTAGGCTGTCGGAGGATGTCTGTATCTTAAATGGTGTTAAATAAAATAGAAATACGATAAGCTAGTTATCTATGTTAGAACATGCATTATATTCAGACAGTTACTGGATCGTTTTTGAGTTGCAGCAGACGCAACCTCGTTCAGTGTAATTATATATACTATAGATCTTAACAAGCTCCTGGTAAACTATTCTTCGTGCAGGCGTTATATGATCATTCTTTTACGTCGATACAATAAGTGCGCTACTGAAATAGCTGCGTAAATCATATTAATTAACAATGTCAAAAGCATATCACGTAGATTCGAGATGAGGGAAAATCGGCGAGGCGTTGTAAGTTAATCTGATCATATAAAAAGGTTTTATACCATCTCTTGTGTCGGTCCCAAATACCGTCATCTTGGCTCGGGTAAGACAAAAGTCATAGTAGGAATGTGAAATGCTGTCGTAGACGGATTCTTCGTCAACATATCATCTATTTCGTTTCAGGGTAAATGAATTATTGTCGCCCTGCGGTTCTAACGAAATAGTTTTATTGCTATTGGAATGCAACCGAATGCTAATGAGAAACAAGCGTATCTGTCTGAAGGTATGACCTCCCCTCCTGAAATTAATCGAGTATTCTTCCATAATGTGTGATTAAAGTGAAAAATTAACAGCAAGATCAAAATGTCCATCAAAATGAGAATCAGAGATAGGCGACAGTATCTGTCTTGTTATTCACGATCTGGAAATAAAAAAAAATCACTGCAATATCGTTGTTAGAGTTTTTTTCTGTAGTTTATAGTGTTTGAGGACAGATTGAATCTCATTATTACATGTTGAAGTTATCATTCTTCGCAAACATATTTAACGATTTAAATAAAGAACGTCCAAAAGGATTTTACCAACCTGCCGAAAAAGCAAAAAGTGCAGATTTGTAAAGATGATATATATAAAACCACGGCTTATAAATGATGTCAGTAAACGATTTATGGATAATTACAAATTGTTTGTCCAATTGAAATTTTCATAAAAATAGACTTTATACAAATTTATATTTAATTCATTAAGTGTTGTGGCATTCAACATTAAGAGTCTTAATCTAATTCAAACACTTTGAATGGATATTCAGTTTTTTTAAATTTCCCAAACTAAAAGTCGAATAGCACACCTTGCGCAAACAACAGATACTGATTTGGATTCTAATGACGGGCGCAGCACATGGTGAATACTAAGAGGACGGTAGGAGAAAGCATGGTAAATGACAGAATCAGACAGCAGCTTAAAACCGTTAAACTTGGTCGGCAATTGTTGTCGTTGAGTTGTTCAAATTAGATGTCAATTGTTGTCGTGGAGTTGTTCAACTTGGATGACATTGGTTGTCGTGGAGTTGTTCATCTTGGATGTCAATTGTAGTCGTGGAGTTGTTCAACTTGGATGTCAATTGTAGTCGTGGAGTTGTCCAAATTAGATGTCAATTGTAGTCGTGGAGTTGTCCAAATTGGATGTCAATTGTTGTCGTGGAGTTGTTCAACTTAGATGTCAATTGTTGTCATGGAGTTGTTTACCATTGCTAATTAGAAATCTGTTTGCTGTATTTTTTTGCCGGATTTTTTATGTTTATTTTATGAAGAAAAATATCAGGTGCAGTTACACTTGTGAGCAAGAGCAAGAAAATTAATCAGGTGCAGTTACACTTGTGAGCAAGAAAATATATCAGGTGCAGTTACACTTGTGAGTAAGAAAATGTATCAGGTGCAGTTACACTTGTGAGCAAGAAAATTTATCAGGTGCAGTTACACTTGTAAGAAAGAAAATTTATCAGGTGCAGTTACACTTGTGAGCAAGAAAATTTAGCAGGTGCAGTTACACTTGGGAGCAAGAACATATATCAGGTGCAGTTACACTTGTGAGCAAGAACATATATCAGGTGCAGTTACACTTGTGAGCAAGAAAATATATCAGGTGCAGTTACACTTGTGAGCAAGAAAATTTATCAGGTGCAGTTACACTTGTGAGAAAGAAAATTTATCAGGTGCAGTTACACTTGTGAGCAAGAAAATATATCAGGTGCATTTACACTTGTGAGCAAGAAAATATATCAGGTGCAGTTACACTTGTGAGCAAGAACATATATCAGGTGCAGTTACACTTGTGAGCAAGAAAATATATCAGGTGCAGTTACACTTGTGAGCAAGAAAATGTATCAGGTGTAGTTACACTTCTGAGCAAGAAAATATATCAGGTGCAGTTACACTTGTGAGCAAGAAAATATATCAGGTGCAGTTACACTTGTGAGCAAGAAAACATATCGTGAGCAGGAAAACATGCATAGAAACGCAAACAAGTCAGTAAGTTTAAATTCTTTATTACAGATTCATTAGATGCTACATTCTCAAATATGTTATTGCAAAAGCAAATGCCAATGATATATCAACGGCACTTGACAAATCTTCGTTTGAACAAACATGTTTACACAGTTATATGAAAATTAGCAAGTATTTGCGAAATTCATTGTACCCTCCGTCTCAATACTCGTGTCCCTGGTAAAGCCACACAAGTTGAACCTATAAAAAAATGGTTATTTTTAGCATTATTGAAAACAGCATTTATATATTAAAAGTTTAGCGGGTGATGAAACACGTGTTGTCGATAGCGAGGTCGAGAACAAAGAGGGTTGCGCTGTAACTCACAGCGCATGGCTATACCCTCTATCATAAACCTCTTTAAGAGAAGGGAGTTAATTCATGTCAGAACATTATTAACGTCCGAAAAGCTAAATCGTACGATATCATACCGATAACCAGGGAAAACGCTACACTATTCATTACTGCTGTGGTGTTTGAAATAAAATCCTGGAATCATGATAGTAAAAAGTTAGATGTCAGCATCCATACTAATATAACTACAAAGCTGCTTCGTTATAAGGTAGCAGTGATCCCAGTGTCAACTCTCGTTCTACTCTCGTTGTGGCATGATTTAACAGATATACAATGAAGTTTACCAGTAAGAACCAAATACTTAAACCAATTAAGTAATTAGAAAGAGTGCTAGGGTTTAATAGATATACAATTTAATTCAATCATAAATATGTAAAAAAAAATCCTAATACTAGTCAATTTCATTTAATTTAGAATCACGATTTAGAATTGACTCAAATTCTTCTACATGTAATATATTGTGTCATTCAGGTAGATTTCTGTTTTCTCTCATATCCGGTCATGTAAGATAAAGCTGACCATGTAAGATAACCATGCATGCTGAGTCTATCTTACTACAAAAACCAAGGGGAGTATCTCCCAATGTCAACAACTTACGCCCGGCTCTGTATATTAATTGTATCTATAATTTCATTTATATTAATTAGTTACATGATCAGTAAAGAATTTAAAATTTGACAACAAAAACATCATTTGTTTTTTATTTTCAACTTGGAACTTTATTTCTCTGCGCACTAAATGAGATGTACAGTAAGTAGCTATAAGGTTCAAAGATGTGGCTTAGAAAATCCGTATGGAAAATCGAAAGTTGAATAACAACTAAACCATAGAGTAATCATGGAAATGTGTTTTATGCATGCAACTGCGGTTTGAGGGTATGGATAATTCGTTTCAACTGCTATTTTTTGTTTTTAAAGCACGGAGAAAGTATCTAAAAAAGAAATATTACTGTATATATAAGTGAAACATATTGTTCAATTTGTCTACAGATACTTACTGTGCGTTAGACTCTCCATGTACAACCTGTATGCGGGACACATAAACAGATGGGTGGCGCAGGTTGAATGGGTTCCATGACAACGGGTTCAGTAAGTTACGGTGATGTTCCCACTTAATGTCAACATCAGTGACCTTCCCGAGGTCAGCCGTTGACGTCACAACAAAGCCAAACGTCGTCCCTGGGTTTATAGAAACTGGACTGAAAGTGAATAGAGATGTCTAGTTTATAAAGAATATATTTATTGAAAATTCTTTGAACACTATGCTGTTGTTTCAAGAAACAAATCGATCAATAGAAACATATAACAGATACGTCAACTGACCCTACGCTACTTCTCTTCAAAACGGAATTTGACAGGCGTCACCAAACAAAACAAAAATTTTAGTTAACCTGATTCACTATCGCTCAAGTATCTTGGTCAGCGACACGTTTACATCACTTGGCTCTCCGACTGATGAACTCTTACTTACTCACTGGTCAGTTGCTTATTCTGTATCTGACCGTTGGCGCCGTGTATGCTGGCGAACAGGTGACCGGACCAGGAATGGGCTCCGCTGGGGTTGCCAAACGACACGCGGACGGAATAATGGTACCCTGTAACATTGGTAGACAACACATGAAGACGTGGCTAATGTACGTGTCACTGATATCAAAACAACAGTACTCCGTTGAAAACGGGATTGAAATTTTGAATTCTGTCAAAGAGTTTGTTTCATTTGTTATATGTACATCAGAATTAAAGAGACGCTTCGACGGTTCGACGTGTGTTAGTTTATGTGGTGTAGTAAATTAGTTCTCTAAGTTTTAAGTGTGTAAAGTTTTTATTTTATGACAAGTGACAAAAAATCAGTTATTATTGTTTGAGAAATTCAACTATAGTTGATATGATCCTTTCCAAGTCTAAGTGTATAATTTTTACGAACTGCAAAAAGGAGCAGCACTTCCGGTTTCCAGATAATATTTGACATGGCTAGTTCCGTGAGGCGGCTTTACCCGGTCGGCATGGAGACCCATGTAGCCACACCCACCATTGGAACAAGACATGCATCTCCCTCGCTTAAAAAAGAGAACCAGTCGAGTTGTATTAAAACATGGATATACATTGATTTCTATTGACTTAGAAACATGTTTTTAACGATGCTTTCTGTCACTATCTAGAATCAAATGGTCGCTCTTATCTATTTAATGCTTTCAAAGTAGTTTAGGAATATTTGATATTGTGTTCTAAGTGAAAATGACATCACCTCCAATTAAAAGCAAGTTGAGCGATACGTATAAAACGTATAGAATTGTATACCATCCCAACTTCAGTAAGTTACAGTTTTTGATTTTCATATAACTATTTCACGGTGAATCAAATTGAGTGATTAGCTTTTCACTTGGCATTTTCGATAAAAAAATATCTCTTTAAAAGAAATTTCGTTAATGAAAACGTGTTTGTGCATGAAAATTGCAATAGCTTTTTCCGCCTGATTTATGTACCTTGAAGTTGTCGTAACTGTCACATCTGTATCCTTGCCAAGGACATATGCTGTTAATAGACTCCTTGAAGTACTTGTAAGACCGCAGATGGTTACACGCTAAGTACTCTTTGCCGCCTGTAGGAACCAAAAATAAATGTTTTTGTTTATCTTCTCTGGGAATGGCGCTTTTTTTATTACTCAGCTGACGATATTTGTAATAATAATAATAATATCTATTTAAGAAAAAGCACACACAACAAAATAATTTCATATAAGTAGGTAATACGCAAAGCTGATATACATAATTTACGTATTTACCTTACCCTGAGATAGCCCATCAAAGCCATGGAAAGCTTATGTCTTTAGTCGAACTGATGTTAAAATTAGTCATTGTACAAGTCACGCTTGAATCAGACGTGATATATACTACTGTTATGCATGTGTAAAAGGATGAGGAATAGTGATAAAGATAGCGCCGTCGCTGGGGCTCGAACCCGCGACCCTTGGTTCTCCAGCCCTATGCTCTACCGCTGAGCTAAATGGAAATTCCCTACAGCTGACGCTTGTAAGGCAACCTAATTAATCCACATCTTTTACACATGCTCCATTCGACTATACTATTTCTTACCATTGTACAAGTCTCCCTCGAATGTGACGCTCTCGATAACATCCTTGCTACACCCAGGCTGGTCCTGTCCACTATTGGGGTAATAATCCACGTGACCGCATGGCTCCTTCATGCCGTACCCTGGAAACGTAAGTGTAGAGTGAAGTAGTGTCGTAATTACACCTGTACTTGTTTATTGTGTTTAATTGAGAGGATGTTTTAGTAGCTTCAGGTTCTACTCTAGTACAACATAAACGTAATGATGACGTATGGTGATCAACCATAGTAAACTCGTCCTTAAACCCCCTGAAGGTATGTCTGCGGTATCTCAGGACATGGTGTAAGAAGCGGATACTGTAGGGTCAGGGGGTCACCCTGCATAATCAGGGCTTTCTTCTATGTACCAAAACAAATCTACTGTGACCATTGCAAAACTTATTTTTTTTCCTCTATCATTTTCCTACACATCCTCTTAATATTCTTGAAAAGCCAATCTACTGACGACAATATCCTATACAATGTTATAAGCGTATCACCAGCTTCAGGTGTACTCTGCCTCTAGATGTTGTAACATGTCTGCCTAACTTGAGTTAGCAGCATACAAACACACTTGCTATTACCCACTACATAGTGTATGCTACTAATTAGAGAACCCCACTGCAGAATTGAGGATTTGCTTTTGTGACCGGGCGGAATGCTGTGCTGGGTTCATTCGGCATGGTTTTTCAGTGAGATATACAATTGGCATCAGATCCGTACTATAACAAGGAGGCAAATACCCCAACATGTCCTGTCTCAGGCACACATACACACATGGACGCATACACAAAACATGAAGGCACGTCCTTAAATTATCTTACCTGTTTATAGGACATTACACCCTGAACAACCAACCAACCTATGCTGCTTAAGGTTGCTCTCTCCGTCTGTTTGGATGACAATTTGTTTTACATACCCAACTGAAGGATGCTCTCTCCGTCTGTTTTTGAGGACAGTCTTTTATACTTACCCAACTGAAGGATGCTCTCGCCGACTGTTTTTGAGGAAAGTATTTTATACTTACCCAACTGAAGGATGCTCTCTCCGTCTGTTTTTGAGGACAGTATTTTATACTTACCCAACTGAAGGATGCTTTCTCCGTCTGTATGGATTATATCAACAAACGTGGCGTCGGTGGGGTCAAGTCTAACTTCCGGATCCGTATACTGAAAATACGGATCAGCAGGATCCAGTCCTGTTCATGATGAGAATCGATAATCAATGACATGAAGTGGCAACACCGGAAGCTTGCATTGGATATCCTTTATCGATTATTCATGTTCTTTTACTAGTGACAAAACGGTATTGTCTTTACAAAAAATATCCCCGTACCGCTGCCAAAATTTGTCAAGATGCATATGAAACTTTTGACAGCATGACTAAAGCTTTGGTAAATAATTTCTGAAAAGAAAAAACTATCTAGCAAGACCTTAACGAAGATGTATCAAATTTAATGGAAGGTAACTTAACGTACAAAAGGCTAAAGCGGAACTCTTTATATTGTTTTGCTGCCGCGGTATAAGAATCCTGAAAAAAAACGCATGTCTAGTCGTAGGAGTGTTGATATGACGTACAGTCAGTTGCATGCGTGAGAAGAGTTTGTGTTCTACCTGTGATTCTGCCGAGATTCTGCGTCTTTGCGCCTGCGTAACCAGCCACGTGGGCCCCTAGGCTATGACCAATCACGTGGATGTCGAGGGAGTGTGCGCCGCCGTATTGCTGGTAATAAAAAAAAAAAACTTGAGTTACACGTTTGATAGTATGATAAACACATATGAGATTTTCAAGACGATTCTATCACGGTCGTACCTCAAGGTTCTGTGACGATAATACGCGGGATGTAGCTCATAGAAATAACACATATATGTTATACTGTCTATATACGAAGCCAGCAGTGTCAAAAAACCCCATATTGCATAACAAATATAACAAATCCAAGTAGGCCTATAGGATTTTGACGAATATTTTGCGCAGGGAAGCCTAAAACAAGATCCTTAAACCTTGTGATGGATTTAATCAATATGGACTTCAGTACATCTACGTTAAGCGGAAGTACACATTTCACCTGGGACCGAGGATGACTTTAGAACAACTTTTTCCTAACTCATCATTGGACTTGGAGTGAGGGGACCAAGTCTCGTGAATAATTGGCTCATCAGAAACCAATCTTATAATAAGAAAACCCATTGGATGTTGATTTTTTATTATTAAACTAATCATTGCTTTGCACTTACAATCTTACCACATAATTAATCATTATTGACAGCAAAAATCCTTCAAATTTACTTAATAACGTATCTGATACATTGTTAAGCTACATGAAGTATGAATCAACTAATCATTTGATGGAATACAAAATCTTACGAATCAGAGATAGTTCGGTTGTTGAACTATTGTCAATCAAATGATCACAGACAATGGTTATACCTGTAAGAGGTGGATCATCCGGGCGATCTCGGCTCCCACAACCCGGGTGTTGGCGGTAGCTTGGGTGTACGGCAGCCCCGACCCGCCGCCCCAACCAACAATGATCACATTATAATCCGCGGCATGCAGGAACTCGTTCTTTATGTCCTGTAAAACAATCCACAATGCAATCATCAAATTAGATACAGGAGAACAATTCAAACGGAAGGTAATTTCGGTATATTACTTAAAACACAATACATCTACCAAACAGAATAATTATATGCATGTAAAAAATCATAAATGAGAGAAAAATGAAAGTCTGAAAACGTGTAAACTAAACGTACGATTTATAATGTTTCAGATTACATGATACTCTTCTAGTGTTTTTATTTACTCACGTGTAACCAAGCGACTTGTCCATTCTCCAGGAAGCCATGCGTGACAAACTTGGTCTGCCTACTTCCGGAAAATGGAGAATTTGTGATACTGTTGGAGTCTTTTGGGTTGAGGTAGTGAACCGTATCCCTGTTGCCTCGGGTGTATAATAGAAAGCGCGTGTCGATCTGGTCTGGGCGCGCAGGCAGGAAGTTAATTGGTCTATACTGACTGAAGAAAGGCGCTCCAGTGCTGTAGCAACCAAGGTCGCCGTAGCAGATGTTGGATCCTATGGTGGAGAGAAACACACAGAGACGCCGTCATTTTGAATTTTGTCATACACATTTGTAAAATTGTATTGATGGTAAAAAATAACACACAAATGTTTGGTCAATAGCTCCGGTTTTTATGAGGATTAGCTTTACGCGGATCTCTATTGGAATAATGCTTCGATAGGACGATAATGTGGAAAAGTTAAAACTAAGTAGACAGTTAATAGTGTAGTTAACATTTTACACTGCACTTAAATAAGGCACGACGATCTCCATTAAATCTCGTTTAGCGTTTTTGTCAGTCGAGAAATGGTTAATATAACAATCTGCAGTCAATAATTGAATGTTGACAACACGAGCCAGAATTGGTCCTTTTAAGTCCAGACCTGGCTCTTTGATTGACAAGATGATAGCAGCAATGACATTTCCACGCTCTTTCCCAGTTTTGAACCTCGCCCGTTTACAGCACGGACCAGTCATTCAATGCTCCGCTAATGCACCCTCATATAAATGTATCGATTATTTTATACTTCTAGTATCTTTATGACAAAATGCGGATGCATGTCCGGTATGACAGCACAGTCAGTTATCATCAAGAGAACAATGGCTGAAATGGAAATTCGTATGTCAGCAATATAGCTTGTAATGGGCCAATGAACAGATGAATAAATCGAAAGCAGCAGGAAAAATAATGCCGTTATCGAGTTTTCCAATTGATTGGTTCAGAATTAATGAGATTCCACGATACTCGTTGTGGCTAAGAGCGTCCACTGTGGTCCTTTCTGGATAAACGAAGTTCTACTCAACAAATCAGAATAAAACAGGTCCTACTGTCCTAATCGGGATTACCAAGAGTCTAGTTTGTTACATTTTGTAATGATGATTAACGATGCCCCGATGTATTTGTTCGGACTACCGAGATGATCAACATTATTATTTCGGATTAACGAGGTGTCACTGTACAAGTCGAGATAAAGTCGATATCTTTCTATTGTGCTTGTCTAGATTGATGATTTACATTTGCAATTGTCCGGACTATCGAATTCCATTGTACTAAACCGTATTATCGAGGTTCAACTTCTATAGTCCGGATTAAGGAAGTGTATCTGGACTAGTCCGGATTAAGGATGTTCCATTGCACGCGTCCGGTTTTAGAATGTTCCACTGTACGAGTTTAGATGAAAAATTGTTTCTGTATAAATTCTCACTGCAGAAGGCCCGATGTTGTGCTATTTCTGTCGTAGCTGTACATATATCAATTGCTTTCCCAAGATATAAAGATGACCACACTGGACATTGGCGTATAAAGTCATGTTATTATCAACTACGAAACCTATCGTAAGGATTTTTTTTTGCAGTATCTGACCATTTTTGAGGATGTAAGTTGACTAGATAGCCTCTTTAACAAAAAACAGAGACCGCATTATAAAGCTATTGGCGCACAAAAGCCACATTTACCACAAATGCTAAAAAAAGGCTTCCGGCTTTGGTTAGATAAAAATTGCCAACTTGACCCAACCGCAAAATATACCAACACATAACTAGGTCCAAATCTGACATATATGGATTGTTTTCAAGATTCCACGGAAAGAGGTCACAATATAAAGTTTGTGACTGATAGTGATCATTTTTAGACTCCATGACTGACACCAGTCACATTCTAGAGTCGAGATCGTTTTCTTGAGACGTAACGTCAGATGTTGACGCAAAATCGCGGATTTCCCTATATCAGCATTATACAATAATATCAATATGGATCATTTGTATATGTTTTCATATACATTCTTGTTCAGAACAATTTCATCTACGTGAATATCTGTATCTGGGAAGAGTTCTATTACGGCACTTTTCTTCGGTGACATAAACCTAACCTACACGTGCAACTGCTTCAGTGTCGAACCCGAATCAGTGGTGATATTCAAACAATAATCAGATAAATGTTAGACAAATGAGCTTTAAACATATCCAATTTTATTCTGATAGTTTTGAAACACGTGTTTCACAAAACCGTTTGTATGTCTCTTAAAAAACGTCATCTGAAACAGAATGACGTCACATTATATGTTACACTATCGTGCGTCAACATCTGACGTTACGTCAGACTACATAATGGAGAAAAGTCACGTTCTTGAAGTTACTGACAGATAGAGATCATTTTCTACACTACTGACATATAGAGGTCATTTTCTAGGCCTCATGACGGCTAGTGTCAAATTTAACAGTTACTGACAGACATATAGAGGTCATTTCAGAGGCCTGATGACGGACAGGTGTCAAGTTCGATAGTTACTGATAGAGATCGTTTTTGTGTCGCCTGCAATGCGAGGCGACATATAGGTGTAACTTTGTTGGCGTCGTCGTCGGCGTCGCCAGTGTCGTCAGATGCGTCGTCCGAAACAAGGTTTCTGTGTGATAACTTGAGTTCCCTTGGGTTGATTGAACTCAAACTTAGCACACATATTGCATATCAATGAAGCTCGGACGAGTTCGCATTTCAGATGTTTATATGAATTGTTGGTGGAGTGATGTCCCTTCTAATGCCAAATAAGGGCATTGTGAAGTAAATGCAGGAACTTTTTTTTATGTTTTAATCAATTCCTTTCAAATTTTGTACAGTATCGCTAGAGGCAACATTTATTACGGGTTTTTCTGTCGAGTTTCAACTTTCCGCGTTTTGGCATATCGCACCTGACATAGCAACGCTGTTCGTCGTTTTTGCCATTAATTTTTTTATTGTTTACGCGAAAACTCAAGCTAAAACACTTTTCTTACTAAAAGCGCTGAGCGACACATCCACTCCTGTGGAATTCTTGTCTAGACTACCGTCATATAGAGGTAACTTCCTAGGCTTCATGGAGGACAGAGGTTTCTCGAAGATACGTCATACGATGAAAATTGCAGCCTATCAATTAGCACCAGAAAACATTATTAGGTAAATATGCCTTCTTAATTTCTATATAAACGATACAATAACGTAGCATATTTTAGGTTTCACACGTTTGTGGCTGTCCTATTTGACGTTCCCCTTTCACCATATTTAAAGTGTTTTATCGTCAGACTGTGAACACTTACGTTTTTCTATGGTGGTAGCCTTTGGCGTGACCAAACCAAAGGACACGACCACAGCGAACAGTGTGACCAGCAACCAAGCCATTGCAGGACGTCCCAGGACGGTCAAATCTGGCCGAATACGGACTGGTTGCCCGGTTTGTATTTCAGGAGATAAGGTTCTGTCTAATCTCGTAATTGATATAAATAGATTTCGACTTCTATGCACATTTCAATTTCGCGGACGAATCCCGTGGATATGTAAAAGTCATTATTTTTTTATCCAGTCTCTTCTCATTTTGAAAACATATTCATTTTTCAAAATTAGGTTTCTCTGTTCAGTACGTGTTTCTTAATTAATCTTTATTTTTTGGTAAACATTTCAGAGTCCTGGAAAGAATCAGGATACTTGCTACAGGGGAGGGGAGGGGTGAGGGGGCTCTATATGCGATCATGAGTGCTTTTCCCCAAATCTTGAGCAATCTGTCAAAGGTACATGTACTTATGGACGTGTGTAACAGGTCTATGTCTATCAGTTGTACAAGAGGACGTTCCACGTTTGAGAAGGTCTGATAAGAATAAAACACCCATAACTGGATGACCCCTACACAGTGATCAGTTAAATAGTTCCGAGATTAATCAAATTAAAAGCACTTTATTTCCATAATTTATAAAATTATAACTATAAAGTGAAACAAAACAATCCGACTTTAAGTTTAAAAAATATAAGGTAGACGCTAAGCGATGGTGATCAGGTCATCTAGTAACGATACCAATTGTTCCTAGTAACCAAGTAACGATACCAATTTTTCCTAGTAACCAAGTAACGATACCAATATTTCCCAGTAACCAAGTGACGATACCAATTTTTCCTAGTAACCAAGTAACGATACCAAT